GCTACAAATAACGAAAGGAATATTGCTTAATACTTAATGTGAGAAAGTGAGCCGGAACAATAGACCATTTCTGGATACCATCCATCAAACTTCTGCCTTTTTTCTAGGATCATCAAACAGTCGGTTTCCGCGCACCTGACAGGGATGCTAGTCAAGACTGGATGTTGACCTACTCTACTGAAAATAATGGTACGACAAAGTTGAAGTTTTATCGCAAGCTCAACACTAACGACGAAAAGGATGTTGTTATCCAGGTAATCAATGGTAGTATAATGCACCCCGTAAAAAAGTTGGCTTTTTCTTTACCTTTACGATGCAAAATACTTCTGAGTTACCCTGACTCTAAGAATACATACATACATTCATACATAAATACATACATACATACATACATACATACATACATACATACCTACCTACCTACATACATACATACATACATACATACATTCATACATAGATACATACATAGATACATACATACATACATACATACATACATACATACATACATACATTTTATTGTGTTTTGGGATAAAAGTACAGTAACATGCCCGCGGGTAGCTAAGCTAATCTAGGCGGGTCATGTTTACAGGAAATAGATTCAAGTAAATACAGCTAAAAGTAACAAGATTTCTCGTTTGTTTCGCTATGGGTCAATAATTTTTGCTTTTTCTTTATAAATGTTTCGTTATCAACAGCAAGGAATGCCAATTTACATTGTGTGGGCATATTCTCCAACCAATGATGCACTTGATCCGCACGCCGGTAATAATAGAGGTTCTCAACAAGTGACACTTGTACCAGCTGGTGTGACTCCGACGACCCCAACCCCGACAGCAGGTAAAAGATTAAACTGCATTGCTCTGCGTTAATAATTTAAGTCAAGAGGGGATTAGGATGGAATACAAAATCTTTATTACAAAGGTTCTGCATTTAAATATTTTTTTTTACTTATGAACTTGCCCTCATATAGAGATATGAAACACACGGGAAGTCTGAGAGCGTGAAAGATGTTAAACAGTTGCTTTCACAGATCAAAAAGCTGACCGAAAATGACCGCTTTGAAACGCAATAGCATATGTAAGCAATTCACAGATCTTGTTCAGAAAATACTTTAGTCAGTTCTTATCACACCCCGTTTGGTGCTTTTATAACAGGAATGAAACAAAAAAAAAGAAAGAAAATACGGAATTAAACTGAAAAAGTATAAAAAGGCAAATAGACAGACGGGCGAAGTAATCTGCGGAAGAAGAATGAAAAATTAAGGAGGAAGACAGGGAACTAGCCAAATGATTAAAAACTAATTCAAGATTTCGACATATTTTCATAGGAAAAGGACTGTTCTCTCATTCCTTCGACAATGGTAATTTCCTTATGCGGTGGACATTTGACGATCAAAGTAACAAGTTGACCTTTCATGTGAAAGTGAAAACCACTGGCTGGGTAGGATTTGGTTTTGCTAAGATCGCGCCAACTCAGATGAAGAATTATGACGTGGTCGTTGGCGGATATGACAACGGCGGATATTTGGATGTAAGTGAAGTCTCCAAGGAATTCGTCAGGAATCGGCACGAATTTCTAAATGTGACTTTATTACGCCGTAATCTACCGGTCCCTTTCTGCTGAAGCTTATCTTGGTTTGTGTAGACGTTTTATCATGGCCAATTTACTGGAACGATTAACGCGTGTGACTGACTGTTTTACTGCGTTTCCTTTTCCTTGGGAAACGCTTTGAGCCAGCAGTTTATGCACTGCGGAGCTTTAAAATTTGATTCTACTTCGTTGCTCCACCCCGAGTTCCAAACTCTTACTTTTCTTTGCATCATATTTAAACACAAGGGTACCCTGCTCTAAAAAGTGTGGACAAAAAAAACAAAAACAAAAACACCTGAACTAAAGATCTGTTGTGTGGATGATTATACATTGGTCAAAAGCGATAAAAGCTTCATCTTCAAAAAGCCAACTACATATAAAGGACGAAGAGACTGATGGAGGTCATAACGATGATAAGAAGATACTTCGAATTCAATGAGAAGCTAGGGTAGGAACAGGGCTCCCTGGAAAGAATCAGATACAAGTCAAATGGAAATTCTCCTTTAGAATCGCATCATTAAATACAATCTCGCATTCTGATTGGTTAACGAAGCGAGGTATTCAGCGTGGAATTGCGAGTTGAAAACGAGGCTAAGTGAAATTGTTTCGCATCCAAGTAAGCATAAAAACTATCGTCAAATCGTTACAAAGTTTGGTTTCTGAGTCAATTTAAAATGTTTTCAAACCATTGTCACCTTTTAAAGAACCAGAAACAAAAAAGCGTTTCTCAAAGAGAGCCTGAGGTTCTTCTTTGTTTTGAACTGAACTATATATTCTTGGAAAGGCATGAAAAACCTCTTTCGCTCGCGACAACGCGAAAGCGGGAAAATCCTGTGAACACGGCCCAGAAAAAACAATCTCCGGGCTAACAGGTCACGCCAACCCGGGTTCAATATCCACCTACAGCCATATTTTCAATGATGCGATTCCAGGAAAATTCATTACCTGACTCGTGAATTCCACGTTAAATTGCACTTGTGCAATTTAACGTGGAATTTAAAGCGGAATTCCCTCGTCAGGTAATGAATTTTCCTATAATATACATATTCCATGAACTGTCATCTATGAAATAACGGGTGCTGAGAGGAAACCCTCCATCCTCTTTAAAACATCCATATTATCGATTTCTTTCACCCTGATTTTCTTCTTTGTAATCAGGACTATTACACTCAAGGACAAGGTCAGCCCCAACCTGACCGCCAAAACGACGACTATAAATTGTTATCTGCATCGGAAGTGGGTGGATACACTGAGCTGATGTTTGAGAGAACAACTAATACCGATGATGACCAAGATATACAGTTCGTAGTAAGTAAATTTATTCATTTACCCTAAATGCTCTTTTGTCTCTCTACTGAGCCCTGCGTTTGCACGCTGGATGGCTTTTAGGGTGTTTGGTAAAAACAAAACTGGCCGATTGAGTGATTGCTTTCTCCAGTTTTCCATCCCAAGCCCCTTTGCGACATAACACTTCCGTACACATGGTTAACTTCAAGTTTCTGATGAGCTCCCGCTCCTCTCTCTCCCTCCCTCCGTAAAATAGCCACATAAGAATGATATACAAGAGAATCAATACAAACTGGGTTTATATCCTTTAGTACCACAATAATGCTTACCTCTTAGTAACCGAGTTCGAAGTCCATACTGTTAGTTACAGACCGAGTTTTTTCCACTCAGCAGGATATTTACCAAATCCATTTTCAGTTTTCTCTTGTCATATCTCCGGGTTCAAATAGAGGGGGTAGGGGTGGGGGGAATTCAGTTCAAACAAACTATTAAATTTAGCGGGAGGTAGGTAAAATACGGTCCACTGTATTGACCAAACGTAGCGCTTGTCTTAACAGAGAGATATAATGATTCGGAGATAATACACGTGTTATAAGGGAAAAAAGAAATGTGCCGCGCGCCCCAAAGAAATGGCTTTTAAGTCGTTATGATGCGAAAAAAGATTTAGGAACATAACAATTATTGTCATAAAGTTGGTGTGGTTTTAAAAAGAACCACGTGAGTGTAAAAGCGCATATATCTTTGGGAATGATTAAAAAGTAAGATAAAAATAAGATATATAGTTCATTAAGTTTCGAAAGAGTTTTAACCAGTTCTCATCGGGCTAAGTGAAACAAGAGGCTTAACAATGTGTTGAATATTTTTAGATGAGGTAATAAATCTACGAAGAAAGGAAAATTTTAAGCTAAGTTTAGGTCCTATTAGATTAGAGGTCAGGTCATGCTAAAAAAATTGGGTGTAGAAACCGACGTGATCTGGTATGAAATAAGATCAGGATTTGAAGTACCTTGAGCTACATTACCGCATAAATAGTTTTTTTGGGAGTCTTTTATTTTTCTGTTAATTGTTTAATCAATCAATCTTTTCTTTTTTTATCACAGCCTGGTGGTGCAGTGCATATAATTTGGGCCTATGGCGCCGAGGATGTGACAAGCGCAGACAGCTTTGTAATACATTCTTCAAAAGGCTTCAGTTCGGATCAACTTGTCATCATTCCGACGGCCCCAGTTCCTACTCAGCCGGGAGCTGCCTCTTCACTGCATTCCCTCATTTATGTGATTGTTTCTTTAGCAGCAATATTGTTCAATGTTGTAGAGATATAATCTAAAGAACTGGAGGAAAAGAGTCCATTTTTGACTGCAATTCGATCGTCAGTGGCATGAAATTGCTTAAAATCTAGGACTGTTCAGAGTGGTTTGAGAGCTGAAAAGATCATCATAATTTGTATTTTAAGGTCGAAAAACTTGTTTTTATCCGAGCGAACTGAAGGAAACCATTCAAACATTGTGATACTTTTACATATTTTGACGTAAAATTTAAGACTCAGTGTAAGGAGTCCTTAGCGATAAGATTTTAAAATAGTTACGAACGTCCGGTGAGCTTTGCCGGAATAAATAATTCGTAAACATTGTATTTAACAATAACTTTACACTTCCGTTTTAAGACAAATCAATTAAAGCAGTTTAGTTTCAAAACTGATTTGGACCAAGTAGTGGGAGTTGTCATTTTTAAAACGGAGGCCAATAGGCCTTTTGCAGCTAGAGATCACGTGCTTAGATACCGCATAGCAACGCCATACTGCAGAGCAAGCACTCCAGTGATCTCAGACAGTATAGAGGTCACAGAGGTCTGCATTCAAACAAAGAATACAGCGAATAACAGGTCAAAAGGTATCCCAATTCGAGAAATCCAGTAAGAAGTAATCAACAGCTTCCCCGGAGTGTATCAGCAGTAAAATCACACCAAAATTCGTTTTTCGCTGATACACTCCAAGGAAGCTGTTGATTAAAAATTACAAGATTTCTCGAATTGGAATACCCTTTAACTTGTTATCCGCTGTATTCTTTGTTTGAATGCAGACCTCTGTGATCTCTATTTTGTCTGAGATCACTGCAGTGCCTGCTCTCCAGTATGGCGTTGCTATACGATATCTAAGCACGTGATCTCTAACTGCAAAAGGCCTATTATAGCTGTGTGAGTATAAATCAGATAAATGTAAATAGAATAAGAAAGATGGTAAGTTTGGAGCTCGCTCGTAAAGAAATAGTGAGAGATGTTGTTTGTACTGTCACAAGCGCAGGACTTGAAAGAAAAAATTCTGAGACCCCACGAGGAATCGAAGATCAGACTTTCGGATTCCTCGCTCCCATGCTCTACCACTGTGCCACAGAGATTCTATGGAGAGCAAGGCCCATGACGGAGTTCATATATGAAACGCGTCCTGCATACTGCTAAGATCGGCAATGTCGATAGCGTCACGTTTTGTACATAGAATAAGAAGGATGGTGAGTTTTGAGCTGAGTAAAGAACGAGAGAAAGATGTTATTCGCCATGTCACGAGCGTGGGACAAAGAAAAATGACGCTATCGATCGACATTGCTGATCTCAATGGCGGTGCTGCTGGACGTGCCACTACTATCAAGTCCGACAAAGTATCAACCCCTTTGATAACTGAACCGGAAATTAAGATTGTCAGTTACTTAAGCGAGGAGCTAAGCTTCCTTTACTCGCGTCTATTAGACGGGCGGTTGAGAATGCACGAGGCAAGTGCCTTGCCAGTCACGTTTTTCCCGCGCTCGCCTCGTGCCTGCCTCTGCTTGCCTGGCTGGAGAACGCAGAAAAATTCACGTCATACGCGCAGGCTATTTGAAACTCGGGCTAAAGTTTTACAGAATATTGCTTATGATAACACTGACAAACCAGAAAGAGCTATATTCCGCACTATAATTAGGACCGAAATACTAACCTCGTAATATTATTCTGAAGCGGCTAAGTTACCCTATTAATTTTTTATTTAGTTAGTAAAAGGTATGGTAGAGCTTTAGTTTGACTTCCACTTTAACTAATCACTTCCTATTACTTATATCAGGGAGCAACTTGGGAGAAACAATGAAGACAACCAATCAGGTTTCATGGGAATGTTAACCGTAGTAAGAATTTTTGTGAGTGTAAGATTTTTCACCGCTTAGAGTACTTTCAGTCAAGAAAACGAGGGTGGTAGGTGTTTTATTTATGCTTTTGAGAGTTAATTGTTTTTTTTTTTTAATCTTGCAACTGTCAATTGGATAATTTGGTTAGGCAGGGGACGTTAAAGAACCCACATCACGAGATTACTGTGAGGTGGTCTGGCCTGTTTACTGGAAATTGTGTGGAGTGGGCATCTGTAAAATTTCTCCTTTGTTGATTGACTGCCACTGGCAGTCTGGAAAAGTCCCCCGCACAGTGTTGTAAAGCGCATTAGATCATTACATGGTAAATGCGCTATAGAAATTGATAAAATTATTATTATTATCATTATTATTATTATTATTAAAATTTGCTAGGAGAGATTTTGATTCGGCTGAGCACCCTAATGTCTCTTGAGCCTGTGATTTCCCGGCTATAAAGTATGCGGCAATTCTTTTTCTTCATGGGTGGAGGTTTGTACCTCGAGAGAGAAAAGTCTTGCCAGGAAACACATCACAATGGCTTAGGTAGATGTAATTTCGGGACCTGAATTGTCTTTCTGGTGGCTACAGCGTCAACGTGTCCAAACCTTTCGTAAAGAGGATAACTTCAAGTTTAAAAAAATATTGTGGTGTTGCGTTGGTAGGGGGTATATCACAAGTTAATTTGGTTATATCAATTGGGTTGATAATGTAAATAATTAGCCACCGAATGTCGCTCTGACGAAGGACTAAAGCTCGAAACGTCAGCTTTAGCGGAAACTCTTTAAGGTGGACGATTTACGTTATCGACTCAATTGATAAAACCAAATTACTTCGTAAATGTGTAATCCTTTGTCTGAGCCTTCCTAAAACCATTGTCGAGAAATGATGGAAAGTTAAAAATATTCTTTAAGGCATTACAGCTGGATACGTCTCGCTAATTCAAATATTTAGATGTAATTATGGGGTTGTTAAAACTTTTATCATAACATTAGCTCAGTATATTTCAACTTAACAGTTTCTCGGCCAATTAAGAATCTTAAACTTCATACAATTTTAAAGTTTCAGTTTTACACTTTGTTTAAAACTGCTTATGATAAGACCTATTAAACCTATTACTTGCCCACACTACTTTTGGAATATCGATAATAAAAAACAATTATCATATCGAAATTCAATTAGGAGCTCCATTTCTTAACATTTTAAGACTGAAGATTAGTTTGATTGGCGTAGCAAATATCAATCTCCAGTTGGACTTTGATAGCTTAAAAAAGAAAGAAAATAGATAGAAAATTCAGTTATAATACCTGCTCCAGGCACATTTCTATTCAGTTTTCTGGCATTCGCTTCTCTTTTGTAGCTTGGTCAAAGCCACGAGATCCGACTGGATTTTAAACACCCCTGCGGTGTTACCATGACAACTTTTTTGTCCAGCCAATAGGTAGTCGTTTCACCTTTCCACGATATTGTCTCACCTGCTGGGCGACCAGCTTACACCTGTTAATTGGTTAGTCAGTATAAAAACAGAGTAAAAAAAATACGCGCACAGTGATTATTTCGCTGCGTCCTATCAAGCAACAAAGCCAATAAGACACTTGGTTGATGATATCTGAAATTTCAAAGCATGGAAAAGGCCACAGGGCCGTTGAATATTTCCCTCGAGGAGTCAGTACCATTTGTTACCATTCTCACAATTACTGGAGTAACATCCATTGCGACTAATTTGCTAATCGTCGGAATAATTTGCAAGAATTCTCAACTGAGGAAGGTGCATGACTTGTTCACCTTGCATAGCAGTTTAGTAGATTTGCTGACCGCATCAGTTGTGGTGCCATTCTGGATCTTGTCTGCCATACACAGTAAGACAAATTTCGTGGGTGATGTCTACTGCAAAGTCAGCGCAACCTTAAGCCTGGTGGAACTCTTGGCTCCTGCTATGTTCCTGATGCTAGTTGCCACCAGCAGGCATTGTTCAATTGTCGACAAGATGGCTTTCCCGAGAATATTCAGCGATTCCAGGTCAAATCTGATGGCTACGATGGTATGGTTGTTTTCATTTTTGATCAGCATTCCTCCGCATGTTGCATGGCCGACTTCACCGGAGATCCAGTGTCTTCCCGATTTGGTAACCAATTCTTGGTACACCACTGCCGTGTTATCCTTTTGCTTCCTATTACCGCTCAGTGCAGCGTTCTATACGCACATTTATGACATTTTCATTTTTCAGCCGGAGCGAATGAAGCGAGACGACTCTATGAGGAGACGTTGCGAGATTTACGCGCCTCGCGGAAGCGAGCGAACCACTCAGAAAGTGTATTTTTTGATTCTTATCATTCACACTTGCTGTTGGGCGCCCTATCTGTGCGTGGCATTAACTCAGGCGATGAATGGAGGTGAAATATATTACACGGGAAATTTTCCAATCCATTTTGTCGCTTTGGTGGTGGCGCTGACGGGCACAGCGCTCAAGGGAGTTGTGTCGTGCTTTGAGTTACCTCATTTGAAAGAATCGATCAAGAAGCAGTTTGGGTGCACGGAAAGTGAGGAAATCGAGGGAAATACGACCAGAATATTCGAAGTTTAAGGAAAGATGTACAAACTTCCGAAAAGCATTTTGTGGGAGGGGTAGGTGAACCCTTGAGGACTTGCGTATGCTTTACGGCTTGGAAAATGAGATTTTTATCACGTGTAAACAAACAAATTCCGTCTGGATTTATTTTAGGAGTAGTTGTAAAAGTACATTATCAAAAAATATGGAGATTGGTCGACAAAAAAGGCTGCTTAATTCTTGTGTCTTAATGATGCAGCAAATTAGGTATATCTGCGGTTTCCACGCAAATTACCATACCCTTCAACACGACAGTACACCCACGTATCGAAGCGTCGACTGAGGCTCTGGAAGGTTTTGACATTTTTATAGAGTGGTCAGAGGCTTAAATTGGTCTCTCAGATGAAATATAAACATCCGTAAACAGGTATGCAGCTAATAGCTAAACAAAATTTATAATTTCCAATTCTATACTCAGCCGAAAAGTTAAAAGGCTGTGTTACAGTAGCTTTTCTGTACAAGAAACGTTTGTTATCTAAAAGTATAATTTTGTATTATCATTGCGATAAATAGATAGCAATTAGAACAAGTTGGCTCAAATTAAAGTATAAGTTTGCCAAATTAGTGTTTGCTAAGATGCGTGTTTACCGCCTTTAGCTGCCAAACAAAGACGAGTTACATAAATATTTATACGCCAGAACCAAGCAAATCGTAAATTAGTTCAGTGGAGGTGTGGTTGGCTGTGATATTCCCGCCCTTGAGCTTAAAAAAGAACAATTCAAGCCCCTAAAAATGAAGGGGATTTTCCACGCGAAAAGTGCCGAATCTGTCTGTTCTTAAAACAATGATTCTATAGGAGACATCTCTAAATGTTATTTTAGTTATGTTAGTTAACTGCGCTAAGCTAAAATCACCTGCCGCATTGAAATAGAATGGGGAAAGATCGGGTTTAAGACTTAAGATCTTTTAACTACGCATTTTTAATATTCCACTGAACATGGACCTTTCGACTTCTTGTTTTCACTTCGTTTCCTTTTGCTTCTCTTTTGATGGGGAACGAGAAGTTACCGCCGAGCGCAACTTTGTCCTGGTGTGAAAGGATTTAAGTGAACTTGACGAAAGAAATTATCTTGTTCCTTTAAAATTTTGCGCAAAATTTAACACGACATACTAACAAACATCTTTTGTGAACAATTGTTTTAAAAGTTCGGTATACCATTAAATTTGTTTGCGTCCTTATTCTTGCCGCGCAGCCGGGGGTCTACCAAGATGCAAAGCAAACATTTCTGAAATCAACGGGGTGCTACTAAGCTTTACAAATACTTCTTGCCAAATATTCTCCGCGAAATGTCCACATATGCAAATTTACTCAGAATTAAAGCCGGAATTTAAGACTGGTTGGTTAATCAAGCACTGTGTTTAACTCGGCAAGGTAGATAGCTTAAGATGAAAGATAAAGCCATAAAAAAGTTATGCAGTTAGCAAATTTGGAAATTTAATGAAACTACTTTATTTTGAATCACACTAATTGCGCCCGTGTTTACCCCATCGTAAATTGAAATTTACTTTGTTTCCGCACCTATGTTATTGTTTGTAGGTTTTCCACGCAAACATGAGTTAAATAACAAACATTTAACCCGCGGCAGCGTTTCGTTTGAAAGGTTCACTGATGGAAAATTTAATGGTATTCGTACAATTTCTGATATCTGCGTTGTAATGTAAATTTACCCAACCAATGAATGATAAGTACAGCCATTATAGATGGTTTGCACGTTACGTCATTGTCGCCATATTGGTGGACGTAAACAATAGATATCTTGAGATACAATGAAATATATGAAGTTCATATATTTTGTACTGCGGTATTAGATACATATGATGCACGATCCTCGCAGTAGATAGCGCTATCTAAGCAATAGCGAAAAATCAGACCTGAAAAAAATCAGGCCTGTACGGAATTCGAACCACTGACCACTGATTTTTTTCAGGTCTGATTTTTCGCTATTGCTTAGATAGCGCTATCTACTGCGAGGATCGTGCATCATATGTAATAGATATCTTATTAGCTTCTTTTGTTCGTACACCAGCATTTGTTCTACCTGTGTCTCTAGAGATTGGTTGCAAACCACCTCTTATTCACATGATACTGCATTTTCACACCTTACATCTGCTTCATTACAACCGGACCCTGTACGCACTGTTGTTTAAGCAGAAAATAATAAATTAAGCTTTTATACTTTCTAACCATCCAGTGTGAAATATTAATCCAATACATTCCCTGTAATGAAATACCGTGACATATCTTTGTTTCTACTGTTGTTTTGTTCCATCAGCATTTTGTGACACACTTATATTCAACTTTGTACTTTGTATAAATTAGAGCCGAAGATGACAGAAGAACTGTCGAAACAGGTTTTAAAATTGTTCAATACTTTCTTAAATTCGTGATATATCTTCTGTTATCCAGACCTTTTGGCAATATAATCCAATAAAATAAGAAATTGCTTTCTTTCTAATTTGAAATCTTTACTTTGCCACATGAGTACTTGATATTTTGTTTTCGCAATAAGAAGGTTAAACTCGGGTTCGACTCCTTCTGAAGTTAGGAAAAAATCCCGTACAGCCCCCATATTTCATCATGCCCACGCACAGTTCTTGGCTTAAGAAAACAATGGCAATGATAATAAATTGCCTGCAGGACTGCGGCTTTGTTTTAGAGTAGTATGGGGTGGAAATTCTGCATGATCAGGAAGTTATTTCTCCAAGTGTGTCCTTGCCACGTAACTTTTTCATTCTGCTTTCGGATCCCATCTTTCTCAGAGCAGGTTTGTCAAGTTTTGCCACTCTTGACAAAAATTCTCACTGACTCGGTCATCGACCACAAGAAGGTGGATATCTGCATCATAAAAACCACCAAACAACTATGCTGATATACAAGTAGATTCAACTACGCATAATCACCAAATAAAAAAGAGAGAACAAATGAGAAAAACAACTCTTCGTCATATTTTCAGTTGTATCTACTCACTGACCTGTAACATCTTCAATTAATTTTCCGTTAGCAAGGTCAACTACATTAAAGCTTAGGAATGACGAACGCCTTTCTAGCTTGTTCAAAAAATACTTTGAGAAATGTGAAGCTTACTGAATTAAGGTAAGGATGGTTTAAAAAAAATAATAACCGCACTAAATTAATTCAAGGAATTCGGTTTTTCCATAGGGGCACGATGATTTTCTCCAAACATTAAAACGAGCGGTATTTTGTGAAAGCTGATTGCTAAATGATTGAAAGACGGTTCGTGAAAACATCGCTAGAGCTTCAAGCAGCAAATTAACTTCGGATTTTTTCGACCGTTCGACGATGATCTATCTAATTATCATTTTTCCAAGTTCATATTCTCCTGAACTCATCGACTGAAATATAAACCAACCTGTTCAAAGCATTCAGTTAGTTGACTAGGTGAGATAATAAGGGAAAGCGAAAAAAGAGAGAGAGCCTGGGACCGGTCGGGAACCGTCAAACACCTACTTCCCTGCCCTCTTTGCTGACTGAGGGCTTCGAACCAGTATGTAGTTTATTTGGCTGTTTCATTTGTTTTGTCCGAGGGATCACAGGGATTTGAATTGATCAGCCTTGCCTGGTAAAATTCAAGCTAATTTGTCTACCATGATAAACATATGTAGGCATTGGCAATCTCCTACTTCTCGTACGCTTGTGTTTGAAAATGAATAACAGCTTCATTAGATGCAAAAAAATACATTTTCGAAGATAATTGTGAAAAGTTGCTTGTACCCCCCAAGATATAGGTATATTGAGGTTCAACTGATCAGTTAGGCAGTTATCCTACACATTGATTAAAGAACGATCGCGAACGACTCCAGCTGCAGGACACAAAAAGATTTATACAGAGTCAAGCACTTTTTAGCAATTATATTTTGAAAAATTTGTGAAGAGCTAGTCTAGGTTTATTTCAGAACATAAATCACCCCATAACTGTATTCTTAAGCTTACCAAGGTGATATGCGTACCTCTTTCGCCTTTCCCCAAAAGTTCGCGATTTGGATTGGACTCAAGTGCCAGGTTACTCAGTCCTCGCCCTGAAAATCAAAGGGGTGCACCCCGCTAGTCGGTCTTCCTCTTAGAATTACACATGGCGCCCAAGGAGAAGGGTAAGAACATACAGCGAAAGTATGAGATTTTCTTTCAATGTAGTACTCACTTCTTGGAATTCACCACCGCGAACAGTAACATGAATAAATAAAGGCGATATTTTGCTTGTGAGCGATTATCTCGGTAGGAAAAATATTTTAGAAAAGGGATTTGTTGTTCGATGTTGCATTACACGTGTGGCCAATAAATGTTTGGATTTTTCTTCTGTTTTTTAACCATGTTAGCTTCAATCTTTGCATTTTTCATGCATTGTGGAGGTTACTTAGATGGGAGATGTGGCCACTATTTGAGGCTAGTTCAAAAGCTTTTGAAGAATCAGCAGACATTGTCACAACCAAGTTATTGTCTGATCCATCATTTATCATTAGCAGTTGGGTTTTTTGATCTCTGTAAAAATTCCTGGGAACAGTCTTGGACAGCAAATGTACCAACCCACACTCGGAGACATGTAGTACTTTGAAGGGTACATCTTCTCATTTCTCAGGAGAATTACATTTCAGACCTTCGTTTGAGGAGCTTGCTCTTGTGTTAAATTCAGTCTGTGCTGCCATTTTCTTTATGTCCCTGTTAGCTTTTATGGGCTGAATTTGTATTTTGATATTGGGGAGAAAATAGGTGTCGGGCAATGAATTAAGCTATTTAGGCAACTCTTACTTGGATTCCTTTGGTCAAATGGAAGGGAATCTCTGAGAAGTATTGGTTTTTGAAGCAGTGTAATCTCTTCAATAGCAATCAATGTTAATCGTTAGTTAGCTGTGTTTACAAATACTACATTACAATGGATTACTCTTAACACCCTTTTTTAATTAAATTAATCATGGACTTGAATTTGGTTCTGTTAAACATATGCCTTCCATGATGGGCTGCTGTGGATATACCATGTGCCTCTGCATTAAAGTGGAGGTACATTCAAAGCCTTAAATATGAGGATAGTCCTATATATTCTCACAGATAAAACTTATTTTGAGAGAAAGGTTTTGCACATGGCCTTATTTTGATAGTAAGGGGTTTTGGAATCTTTCTCATATACTTTTGACTGTGTCTGGCAATTGGTTGCTCCTCTGCCAGTTTAAATTTCTAACTACTTATATTTTGTGCTCTGAATGATTTTACTGCCCTTGAACAGGGCTTGACATGAACAGTAGCAAACTAGCTGCAGACTAGTAGAATTCAGTTTTGGCCAGTGGTTTTAGATTTCCATTGGCCAGTTCAGCTAGTAAACAAGCTGAAATTGTCGCAACATCTTAGTTCACTAGCCACTTGGCTTGTAAGTGTGAAAGTTAGTGTCGAGCCCTGCTTGAAGAGCCTCCCATGGGAGTCTTGCCATTTTAGTTCTGTTTTGCAATGCTAATTTTAAGGGGATGACAGTTTTTGACAAGAAGGTCATTTAGACTGGCTGAAAAAATCCAGGGTTTGAGAACTCGTACTGAATTTTTGTTTTTGTTTTTGTTTCAGGAAAGTCTAAATCTGGTGCCTCTGCCAAATCCAGTGAGACTTCTAAAGCCCAAAAGGCGAAGAAGTCTGTACTGAAAGGTGTTCAAAGAACACAGAAAAGGAAGGTGCGCACAAATGTCCACTTCTATCGTCCCAAAACCCTTCGCCTGCAAAGAACTCCCAAATACCCAAGGCATTCTGCTCCAAGGACCAACAAACTTGATCACTTTGCCATCATCAAGCATCCTCTGACCACCGAGTCTGCTATGAAGAAGATTGAAGACAACAACACACTTGTGTTCATTGTTGATGTGAGAGCTAACAAGCCCCAGATCAAGGCATCGGTGAAAAAGTTGTATGACATTGATGCTTCCAAAGTCAACACTTTAATCAGGTACACGTTAATGTTTTTGACTATACATCATCTGTAGAGTGTCTATTTCCTCCATAACCCTTAATTAACATGAGTGACTAAAACAGAATTTCTCCTTACAATATCTAGGAGACAAGTAATGAGATGAAAGAACAATTCCAATTACAGTATCATTAGTTGATCCAGTACCAAATTCTCCAAACTTTCACTATAAGAATTGTACAAATAGACAGTAAGGAGAGTTACTAATGGGATGTTGGGAGTGAATGGATCAAAGAACCAATTTTTTAGTTCAGGCCCCAGTTGTTAGAAGGATGGATAATACTATACACTGGATAAATCTCTATCTGGTGGATAGCGCAGTACGTTTTGGTAACACTTATCCGCTGGATAGCGATTTATCCGTTGGATAGCGTTATCCGCCCTTTGAACAACCGGAGCCTGTTGTTTAATGAACTATAAAATTATCTCTAAATATTTCCAGATTTTTTCTCTGCTGTTTTACCACATGTTCAACTCACTACCACATAGAGGGCCCAGGTGTTTAAATGATATGTGCAGGACACAATTGTCACTTAACCAACATTGATAAAGTAGACAGTGAATTTGCTTGTAAATGCAGTTCTTGGTTTGAATTCATATACACTTCTAGGCTGTTTTTGTTGTTGGAACAGTATTCAATTGTGTAAATTTGATTGTCAGTGAGAACTTACAGGGACAAGTAAATCTTGATTTACTGCCCCAAGAACATTTTCTGTATTTAAATAACAATATTATTCCTGCCTTCATCTTGTAAATTGTTTTGTTGTTATATCGTTGACTGTTAAATTTGTTTTTGATTTAAAATGTTTTCAATCCAACATGATTCTTTTGTTCATCTGGTCTCAGGTTAAAATTTTTATAGGACATGGAAAAGGAAAAATTAAACTTACTTGGAAAACATTGAGCTGTGAATTGATATAAACCTTAACTCTCTATATCCTTACATCAGTGTGCAATTTCTCCATACTCCTATTCATACATCTCCTTTGATACTGACAAGGAGAATATTTGTACTCGCATTCATACTTGCTCTAACCAAAAAAGTTACAAAATTGAAAGAAATTATTAGAAATATAATTGGAGTATTAGCAGCCTGCAATAACCATAGGGGCTAGCGGAGCCAGGCAGCTAGTTAACATCGGCATTAAATAAAATTATAATACAGGTCAGCAAGAAGATTGAAGCACAAATGTGCACACACACACACACATACACACACACACACACACACACACACGCATGCATACACACACACATGAAAAAAGAAACGGAATTATTAAGATTTGAAGGAAGTCTAAAATAGTTAGAGTTATTTATGAATACTAAACAATATAAGAAGAGCACAATGTCTATGGCAACTAGTAACAGCTATATAATTATAAACTACAAAATAGAGAAGTACTTAAAAAGGTTACAGAAATTATCAGGAGACTAGATTACAGTAAACTGGAAAACAATACACTGCTAATAAGTACATAAGTTGCTAATAAGTATATAAGTTGCTAATAAGTACATAAGTAGCTAATAGTCTTTGACTAGATCACATTTTACTGACTCCTTGAAGTTTGAGATTGATAAGGTTTTCAAGTTTTGTAAGTTTTTCTCTTACTCATACATCTCCTTTGATGCCTACAAGGAGAATATGTTCAAAGATAAAAGTTTCTTAGGTTGCCAATTATTTTATTCTTGTGATCGTAATACAGTTGAACCTTGGTTACTTGTATCATTGGGACTAGATGAAATAGTCTGGATAATCCAGGGTCTGCATAATGGAGAATATGAATATTAGTGAGGAACAAAAACTGATGAAATCAAGAAAGTGACATTTAATCCTGAAACAAAACATTTGCAAATCATTTTGAAAATGATGTGGTCTACATCTTCACTTCCCTTAGTGAATACCTCTATATGTGGGTATTGACAATTAAAATTAATGAAAAATGTTTTTACATCGGCCTAGTATGTTGAAGTAAGTCTGTCTTAAAGAAGAACATCGCCTTTGCTTCACTTTTCAATGCTGTAGTTTTAAAAAGGATATGGCTAAAGATCTTGATCATGACTAATAGATATTCATGAAAAATTGGTACCAGAGAAAAAGTCCCTACAATGGAGAAATTCAGATGATCGAGGTGTGGATATTTAAGGTTCAACTGGGAGTGATTCATCTGTAGCACCTTAGGGAGGAGTAATTAAACTTTGGTCTGTCTTAAAGATTAAAGGGTTAACCTAAATTTAACATGTATGGAAGTGTGTTATCAATCAAGCTATTTCTCTGTTCTATTTCTTGCTCTATGGAAATTTATGCACGATTGTTCTTTACTGCTTTTCACGTTTTCTAGACCTGATGGGCAGAAGAAAGCATATGTTAGACTGGCTCCAGATTATGATGCTTTGGATGTGGCCAACAAGGTGTGTTACAGAATGAATCATGCAATTACTTTGGAAAATAATTCTAAGTTTTTTAATGTCATATTTATCATTATTTTGCAGATTGGGATCATCTAAGCTTGTCAAGAAGAAGAACAATAAAATATGATTGTTATTTAAACTCAAGTCTGTTTCCTGTGTCTTTTCTATTTCTTGCTTTTTGCATTTTAAATTTAGTTTCTGTTTGTTCCCCTTGACCAGCAATCATGAATTGCCCCTATGTTGGAAACAGGTCCATTATGCAGTGATACAGAAAAAATGCCATGACACTGATCAAATTTTTGTTGTACAGGTACTTTTATAATTTTTTTTTTTTTTTCACTTGCCTCCTCTCATGCAGACACTGACAGGCATTTGAAATTAATGACAAGCAGTTCAATAAATTTTTCAACAATTGGTTGTCAATGGTGTGAGAGGTGGCTCTACCAGCAGGGAAAGAGCCATAAGCAAGGTTCCCATGCTCCTTGAAAGTCCTTGAATTTAATTTTTTTGTTTTCAAGGACTTGAAAACCCTCTCAGGTCCTTGAAAATTTCTTAGAAGTCCTTGAAAATAAGTGCAGATAAATCAAAGTTGAAGGTTTCTTTTGTTTTTGGTGTTGAAAGTGTATGTTTCTAGCACTAATTGCAAAAACAGGTTTTTACTTTAAATCCCGCATCCAATTATGTTTGACATGTGATAAAGAGCAGTATCCTTTTGTATCTATTAACTCTTTTTTAATGCAAAAGGTCCTTGAATTTGAGAGCCAAGGTCCTTAACAATGACCTAAAAAGTCCTTGAACTGGGTTCCTGAAAAAGTCCAAAACCCTGCATAAGGCCAAACCTGAAAGCATGCAAGCTAGATTGAGGAGAGTAAGAGGTCTTACAGGCAGCAGGAGACAAGTCAGACCACACCATGTGTTGGTGGTTCATAATTATTGGCTATTAACATTTCATTTAACTTTACTGCAATATTTGAAATGAGATATAATTAAGGTAAGTAATTTTCAAAGCTTTATTCACAACCCATACAGATTTTGTGTGGTTGCAAAAGAGTTTGTTCTTCTCATATGAAGAAGTATTAACCAAACACATGGTGTGGTCTGCCTATGGGTAGACCCCTGATGAAACCCATGCAATGACCAGGCATTGTTTTAACTTAGCAAAATTACTCTTGGACCATTAACCTTTTCACTTCAAAGATTGCACTAGTAATTGCCCCTACTGTATTGATGTGGTAAGGAGAAATGTTATCTTGGTCACTCATGGGAGTTACAAAGGGACAGCAATTGTATTTTGCACCGAATAACCCTACTTCTTTGAATAAGCATCCAGGTGTTTATCAATAATTTTTCTAAGGGGTTGATTATTATTATTATCAGTTATCAGTGATTATTGTAACAGTTACAAATAAAGCAGGAACAGAATCAGGTTTTCCTTGTATCCGTACTATTTAAGGGTGCTGGTTCAACATTATGAACAATATGGAGGGAGCTTATCAGAGTGTGGGTGCCTATTCAAGGACATTCAGCAGGTCTTAGAAACAGACATAGAATTTTATGATTTTGATAGAGTGCCAACCCTACTTATGTTCCTAGTGAGAAACAAGACCTATTGGTATTCAATTACTGAATGCCTGATTCTTGGAATAAGGTTGAATACAGTTACACAGTAAAAATGCTATTGTTGTTTTAAACACCATTTAATTGCCTTGAAATATCAAAGGCCTAATTTTTGGCCACAGCTTACAAATGAACACAAGTTGCTTAGCATGTATTACAGTAATAGATGCTTAACAATCATCCAAGCTCTGAAAATATTACGTATCGCTGTTACATAATATAAGAACTAAATACTCTTTGAAACTTTTAGCACATGGCCCTTAAATCTTTTTCACAAGACAACGAGATTCACAATGTAACTTTTTCCTGTTTAAAAATTGAATCTTTAAAACATCATTGAAAACAGAACCATCTATAGAGAAGAAACTCTTATTTCTCTTTCTTAGTTTCCCTTCGCATTGTGACATAGGTGAGGGGCATTTTGTGGAAATGCTTTCCTTAGTTTTCCATGATAATAACAACACAGCCAAGATGCATTTCCATGGTCCTTAGCATACACCAAGTTGCATTCCATGCAGGTCGTATTGGAAATACTTTATGTCTTGCAACTTTCACCCTACACTGAAACAATTACACTGATCATGGAATTGATCCTCAACCTGAGGTCAATTGTTTGCAAGTGGCAACCCTTTTTTGCAAAAGATACAAACACAAGCTAAGACAGTATTCCCGTATTCTGAAAAAGCACAAGATCTTTACAACGACATGGCCACCACAACATAAATTCCAAGTAGACCTGGATAGAATACAGCATGGTGTACATAGCTCTTGTCAATGAGATGTTTAAAAAACTTGTAAGTTCTCTCACGTACATAAACAACATGCAACAGCAGTATTCCAAACCTTTTTATAAACAAAACTGACTTTCTTATAATCCATATCTGATTTCCTTTTAAATTTAAAAGAACAACTATTGGAAGCGACGCTTCTCTCTTGCTCACGAATCAACTAAACAATCCTACGGTCAGAAGTCAGAAGTTTCAATCCATATGTTCCAGAGCGTCTATTTCATTCAGCAGTTTGAGCTTCTTTGAATTCCAGAACTCTATGTCCGTGGTCAAATCGTCGATTAAGCGCAATTTAGTGGTCTCCAATCTCTCAGTATCTTCACACTTCTCTATCCGTGCTTTCAGCTCTTCTTCCAAAATTTGAATTTTTTGCTGGCTATCGGTTTCTCTCTCGCTAGCACGCACATCTTCTTGTTCAAGCTTGCGAAGATTTTCTCCTGCTTTACGTATCATGTCTTCCAATTCCTCTACTCGCTTCACTGCCATATCCTTGCGAATTTCCGAGCGAGACAGTTCGTTTTCGATAACAGTTAGCTTTCTCTGGGCTTCGTTCAACCTCATATTGGCGGTCTCGGCGGCGGACTGTGCCACTTGTACCTGGTGTTCGAGTTCTCGAAGCTGTTCATCAGTTTCTACTTCGGCATAAGTTAGTTCCCTTCCCTTAACAGCCTCAGCATCTGCTTTATCATTCAGCTCTTTGAGTCTACTTCCCTTTACGTCTGTTTCGACCAGCGTCTCTTCGAGTTTCTTTCGCAAAAATTCAATGTGTCTTCGATATCCCGCAGCTTCGTCATCTTTGGAAGCGATCTCTAGCTTCTGTTTTTTTAGCTGCGAACTTGCGACATGCTCTCTTTCAACGGCTTCTTCTGTCTTTGCCTTAATAGCAATCATTTTGTTTTTTACGTCTTCAAAGAGGGACGACATGACTATAGCTCCGTTTATCGCTAAAGCTTCGCAGAGTTTTGAATTGGCCTCCTACTCAAACACACCCTGTTGAAAGGAACAACAGCTCAAGAGAGCATGACCGCGCGTAACAACCACTGACAACTTTGCGGCCTCGTCCTGCCCAGTCCGTTTTCACCACCGATATACCCCTACACTGCAAATTGCGATTCATCCCTTTACATTACTGAAAAAAAGAAAAAAGACAATTGCTTAAATGCAATCTCAGTCAGCTTACGTTTATTTTTCAAAAACTATGGAAAGCTATACTGGGCAAAAGTGGTGGAGAACAATTTTGTTGGTCGAGCAATAATTTTGTCTTTCGAGATATATTTTCAAATTATTGTGCTTGCAACCTGAAAGAAGTCTGGTACCAAGTTGACAATATCCAAATCTGATTGGCTAATTCTGGGTAGGAGGCAAAATTCGAACAGTTTATCGATTTCAAGGTTGTTAAGATTTTTCCACGATCGACGCTTCTAAACATTGTCCTAAATGGGTACAAAGAGAAAACGAGGGCAAACTAAGCAAAATAGGAGCTCTACAAATTCACGGAAACAGAAAAAGAAGAGAAAAACTCGCAGAAAAGGATTTAAACAAGCAAAACTTACAAATGAAGTCGATTCGTTGCATATCGAGCCATCGACCTCGACGGACTGCAAATTGTCCACACCTGCTACTCGTGAGAGATCTGAGTCTTCTTGCTGTGCAATCACTTGTGCTTCAGCTGATGAAAGTGTGCAGAGATCAAGCCTCTGGAGAATAGGTGTCATCTTGAATCGCCTAAAAAACTTGGCCTCTTTTTGTCAACACTCCACCGTAGATTGGTGTTTCAGTTCAATCAGAAGTGTGTATCTTATTTTAAACTGGCTTAAACAAACGTTTGGTTTTGGAATACAAACACTAGGAAAGGTTTGTTTGTTTGTTTGGTTTTTTTGTTTTGCATCAAAAGCGATTCCTTGCTGCCTTCATGATTCTACCCTTTCTATTTTGAATTGGGTCACCGATATGCACTATTTCATAGGCCGGGGTGTATGGCCGCGGATTGAAGCGGTGGGGGAATTCGAAGATGAATAGAATTTCCTGAGGGAGGGAGGTGTCATTGTGAAATACGGTACATTCCTGTGCAAACCATTTCCTCTATACTTAATTTTGAGAGGGTGGTAGAATGCAGATGTGAAGGCTTTGCTGCCAACAATATTTAACAATTATTCGCCGAAGGCGAGGTGAATATTTAACAAATGGTAAACAGCACAGCGTACATTATTGAGTTGTGGATGCACGCGGGAGGTTGCTAAGCACGAAAGAATCGTAAGAGTCACTCGAGGCGATAGCCGAGAGCGACTCTAGCTTCTTGAGATAGGAAAGCTTCGAGCTTCTAGACAGGAAAGTCCAGACCACTTTCAATAACGATTTCAGCCAATCAAATTCGTGAATTCGGTAGTTCCCAGTCCTTGTGAGACACAGTCATATAATAACGTCGACATTATTCACCGAACCTGAGGCGAATAATTGTTTTAGTATAATTTCAGAGCCGAACAACAAAGAAATGTCTAAAATCATAACATTTTAGTAACATTTATTAACATTTTATTTTAACATTTTATATAAACTGCATGGAGCGGTTTATATAGCGTCATATAAGGAACCGCTCGACCAATCAGATTGCTGGAAACTCTTTGCTCAGCTCTGAAATTATACTAAAAACAGATACTTATAAGGTGGCCCTTATTATAACAGAAATTATTAATCAACCATTAGATTTATCATTCTTGTTTATAAAATAGTTTCTTCTAGGAGATAAAGATTATCCAGTGTTGTTGGACAGGAAAACCCAACTTGACATGATGGTTAGAAGAATGGAAGCTTTAGAGGAGGAGGTTAATCAAATGAAATCAGAACTTGCTAAGGTACATGTACATCTTCTAATAAAAAAAAAAGTTAACTCAGTTAATCTCAAGGTATAAGATGTCAAATGTTCCATACCTGGTCATAAGTTTGGGGGAAAGTATAGTGGTGGTCAGTTTGGGTAGATCTTTCCAAGGGTTAATTTTCCACAAATCACATTTACAGACTTGAATGTGAAATGCTTTCACATGAGAGAATCTTACATGATGTTTACGAGTAGAAAAAAATACAGCTGCACTATGATAACATGTCTATGTGCTTGTGTTGAACCAGAGTGCAAGACTGAAGTAGGAATAACAATACAATCATCAATCTCCCCTTGCTGCTACAATACTGAAAATTATGTTAAATCAGTGGTGGATCCAGGAGGAGGGTCCAGGGGGTCTGGACCCCCCTATCAGACCTGACGCCTACAACTTTGAGACAGGATCGTATATCACTTTTTAACTGACTGATTTTTTTAATGAATCCAAGTAAACGGTAAGCGGCCAAGGAATTATAACATGCAGCCGCGACTGGTGGGAGGGGGTGTGGGGGAGAAGTAATTTGCCTCAAAGGAGTCCAACAGTGTTTTCTGAACCAAAGTTTGGACCCCCCCAATCAAAAATTCCTGGATCTGCCTCTATAAATACATAAATATTTTTATATTCAGTCTACAATAGTGAGTGAGCTGGATTGCCACATTTTGATTGCTCCTTACTCATGATCTATTGGTGGACAGATTCATTTATGGCATAATCATTGACAAGGACTTATTTAATCTAAATCATATAAACCAAATGGATTCCATGCAGCCATGTGTCCATTGATAAATAAATCACGGAATATGTCAAAATGTGTAAAGAATGTCAGGTGCCACTTTTTTAATTCTTACCAGATTTCAAAATCATCTGTGATCCACAGAACAGACATATAGCAACATGGATCTATTTGTACACTTATAGCTGAACATATACTCCTAGCATATGTGTAAATGTTTACTCTGTTCTTTTCAGAAGACAACTTGTCCTTGTGGAGATCACTGCAATGGATCTATATCAAGAGTTTGATCAGTACCAGTACCTAAAGGTCTTCCTCCCCCACCTCCCCCTGTTCAACCTCCACCAGCTCCTCCCTTAGCTTTTCTCAAGAACAAACAGGTACAATATAATGAAAGAAGAAATTAGCAATTTACTTACAATTGATATTGGCCAATGATAACTTACTCACCCATCCTTGTAGGGCCTGATTTAGGTGGTTTTAATTAGAAATAGTGGAATTTTCATTTGTTTATAGTACCCGTCTCTTCCCTGGTGTGTAATTTTTCACAATTTTCAAGTAGCAATTAAGGTCTGTACTCAACCCAAGTGGCACAGGAAGCGGGAGCGTGTGCTAGTTTCCCTAGCACGAAGTGATAAGGAGTATCACCATTCCTCCACTTGCAAGGTTACTCCCTAGTATTTTATCAGGCTTTCCTGATGATTTACCAGTACCCACTTATCCTCCTGGATGGAGAGAGGCACAGTTCCAGAAAAGTGTTTTTCCCAATGCAAGAACACAACACCTTGACTCAGCCAGGTCTCAAACCTAGACTTCTCAATCTGCAGTTTAGAGCTCCTATTGATAACAGACTACCACCTATTCTGAAGGGATGACCATTTTTAAATAAAGGTCTTCTACTCTACTCTTCTGGGAGGCATGGTGGCCTCATGGCTAGTGCCCTCAACTCTGGATTGAGTGGTCTGGGTTCAAGCACTGGTTGGGGAGATTATGTTGTGTTCTTAGGCAGGACACTTTCTTCTCACAGTGCCTCTTTTCGCCCAGTGTCTAAATTAAATGGGTACCAGCAAATTTAATGCTGGGAGGTAACCCAGTGATGGGCTAGCATCTCATCCAGGGGAGAATAGAAATACTCCTAGTCACTTCATTCTACAGAAACCAGATTTAAGCACCAGCGAGATGGGCCACTTGGGTTATATACAGACTTTACCATAACCTACTCTACTCAGTTCAGTGCATTAGGTCACCACTTACAGTATTTGTAAAGTAACATAATTAACGTGACCTCTAATCAATCACACTTATAAATTAAAGAGGACTTAGTAGTAGCAGTACATGGTTGAAATGTTTTGGTCACAGTAATTTACTGAATGGTGAGACAATTGTTATTGTTCTTCACTATGGTGAATAACTGCAACCCTTTTTAAACATAACAAGAAACACATGTCTTAAACATTGTGCCCTTATCAAAAACAATATGCACTAAAAACATTTACCAGATGAGGGTAATTTTTACCCGAATTGACCAATCAGAGTGCTTTGTTTCTTTAAGTTTACCGCCAGGTAAAGTTTACCCTAGTGGGGTAAACTTACCATTAGCAATTCGCTCGTTAGAGCCCTTCTATGGGCTGTATCGACGCAAAATAATTACATTCTTTCAGTTGTGCCTTCTTAGTAGCGAATTTCTTGATTTGGAGTTGAAAAAGGTGCAAAACCAATCAGCTTATATCTAGGATGGTGTGCTTTTGTATTTTTCGGGATTTGAAAATTGACACGGCTATGTTTGTAATAATTGCGATGTATTTTCCTATTTCCAGCCTGTATCCAAACCCATTACTTCCCAGGAAAATAAAAGCACAGTATCAAGAACCTTGGTGACCTTGGAGGATCTTAAGAAAGTCAAGCTGAAGAAAGTTAAACAGGCTGATGAGAAAGACAAAGAAAACACAGAGCCTGAGTCCAAAAAGATTGGGTTCAAGTTGAACAAATCTGATAAACAAAATGACAAGCACTGTCTGGTAACTCTGAGGGATTTGAAGAGTGTGAGATTGAAGAAAAACAAGGAAGATGACAGTCTGGAAAAAATAAGATTACGGTAAGTTTTTACTCAATGTTTTTACTGTTTGTTAACAGGGTCACACAGGTCCTGGAAAATCTGGAAAGTCATGGAATTTAGATTTGGCACCTGGAAAGTCATGGAAAATCAGAATGCTTTTTATGAGTGCAAAGCAGTGTAGATCTGAAGTTAGATGAAAAAAATTAATAATGATAACCAACCGGTCAAAAAATGAGATTTCATTTTAATAGAAATAAACATTTATTCAGCACATTATTACAAGATCTACTCTTTTAGAGATCTATTTTAGACATCTTTTTTTATGTATCTTTCAATTTTGATGCCAAATTATTGGTCATTTTCGAAACAGAACTCCTGAAGAAATGGTAGTCATGAGAAGAAGTCTACGCAAAGTGAATATTAGTCGTAGTCCAGGTGGGACTCCTGTGGTATCTGATAAAGCTCTTGAGCATGGAACTGGTCTCACACCAATGATGACTAGAGCACTGAGAAAGAAATTCCAGGTGTGACTGTGTACTCTTACTTTTTACTAAGCCAGTTCAAGGTCCACACTACAATTTACAGACCAAGTATTTTCTGCTTAGATTTATGGCCCAACTGCAAAGCCTATAAATCTGAGTGGAAAAACATGGCTCTGTAATTAATTTACTGTACAGACTGCGAAAAGGAGGATGGTATGATATTTGTTATATCTCTGGGTTCAAATAGAGGCAAGTCTGTTTACGAGCTGAGTGGCCGGCCCATCAGGCTGGCCCTTAACTCGGGTTTCTGTAGCATGAAAGGACCAGGAGCATTTCTACTCCCCCCTGGATGGAATGCTGGTCCATCATGGGGTTACCATCTGTTTTAAATTCCCTGATACTCATTTAAACACTATGTCCCCAGCCAAGGCGCAAACCCAGACCACTCAATCCAAAGTCAAGCACGTTAACCATGAGGCCACTACACCTCCTCAAGTAGAAGGGGAAGATTCAAACAAACTTTTAAATTCAGTGTGCCGTACACTTAAGTATGGCCCACTAAATTGACCAATCATAGTGCATTGCACTAACTGAGGGATGTAATAGAATGTATTGTGCTTTGTTGCCAGGATTCAAATTCTGAAAAATGTTTGGGTCTAGCACTATTAACTAGGATTTTAATAGAATTTTAGTTACTGATTAAGGGCATGTTTGACTGGTTTTGCATTTTAATGTTTTTGATGGGAAGGAAGCTGAATTTTTGAAGGATTTCTGTACTGTCCAAGTACAGGTGCATTTGAAACTAGCTGATCTTAAGAATGGTTTTTTGTTTTTGTTCTTTAAGCTGGGCTCAAGAGTTGTAAATTACTTTGTATGATCCTTTTTATGATATTTAGTCTTACAGTAACTATAAATTTTTACCTACTATTTTACCATTTTCTTATCATTTCTAGCATGCACACCCTTACTCTTCACCTGATTCGCCATCAAAGAGACAGGTACATGAACCAATGAAATGAACTTATCACTGAGAACAATAATTGTAAAATGATGTTGGGATATCAATTGTAGCTCAAAAAGCGTGTTTTTAGTCAATGAAATTCACACCTACTCTAATGAATATTAAGGAACAATTACTTCCCCGCAGGACACTTACATCATTTTCTTCCCCTTATTTAACTTGTGCAACAGATTTTTCCAAAAAGGAAGGACTGCTCAGTCTAGATAATTAAAAACAAAATTTTCTGMTTTTTTTTTTAGAGTTTGTCTCCAATGACCATCAGATCACCAAAGGCACAGAAAGTTTTATCTCCTTTGTCCTTCAGATGAAGTAATTGTTGTTTTATTTAAATTATTAGCTTTACAAAAGGGGGCTTGGTTAATTTCCTAGGCTCAGTTGTTCAAAGGGCAGATAACACCATCCACCAGATAAATCCCTATCTAATGACAAAGTGTTAACAAAATATACTGCATTATCCACCACAATGAGATTAAGTGGATGGTGTTATCCGCAACTGGGACCTGGCATGGCTATAACCATGATATTTCTCAGCAATATAAGGGAAAAGAATTAAACACTTATTTAATTGAGTTTTAATACCATAACATGCAGTTAAATTTCTATCACTAATGATCATTAGTTTATGTTATGATCACAGATCATATAGTATTATTCATGCTGGTCAAAGTTGACAACTTTTGGGGAATGATGTCAAAGGTGAAAGCTCTAATAGCACACTAGCTCTTAATTTGGTTTAAAGTTCTATTTTTATTCTATGATTTTCCATTCTGGCAAAGTTTCAAAACTCTTTTATTTTTATTGCATTAACACATATTATTCCATCACTGTAGACAATTTTAATTACCTTTTTTTTGGCTCCTAAACAAGGTGTTTATAGCCTTTAATTCAAGATAACTGATTTTAATAGGCAGGCCAGGGCTATTGATTAAGATTCAAATGGATAAGGACACGTGTTTCTCTTGCTTAAAATAAGTACAATTTGAAGCTTCTTTTTTTTTATGTTAACTAATTTTGTTTAAATTACAATAGGCCATTTTACAGTTGTGTACTTAGTTGCCAAGCCTTTGATTCAGAGTGAGGCTAAAGATGACCTTGTTGGGATAGTTAGCGTGATAACAAAGTGATTTACATTTGAAAGGCAGCAAGGTTTGTATCATAACAAGGTCATCTCTAGCCTCACTACCATTCAAAGGCTTGACAACCAAGCACACAACTGTAAAATGGACTATTCCAGTTAATGGAATTAACTCTTTAGAGTCTCACATCAATGTCTATATTCTCCTTCTTGTACCTCATACATTTCCAGTTGTGCTGACAAGGAGAATCTGTTCAACAATCACAAACTTTTTCAGTTAACAATCATTTTCTCTCTTCATGACCTTAATGTATACCTGCCAAATCTCCCGCTTGCGGGTTGAAAACTTCGATCTCACACCTACTCACGCCTGCAGGCCAATTTCTCGCTCCTGATTAAAAAATGTGAGTTGTTGCCATCTTGCTTGACTCAGTTTCCAAAAATATGTTAACTCAGGCCCACACAAGGAACAAAAACCATGTGTCATTTCCTTTATACAATTTTACCACTACATTACAAAGAATATATTTCGTGAGCAGCTAGAATAAAGCTTTATGGCCTTTTCTGGGAACACCAACATCACAACTACCTTAAAAAATTGACCATGCCAGTCTAAAACTTTCTGATTTTAGAACTATAGCACTGATGTTATCAACTAACGTCGGTCCTTGTGGATAAGTGTTTTCTCGATAAATTCGACTTCAGAAGACTTTGGACGTCTTTGGAAGACTTCCGACATCTTCGGGAGTCTTCGGAAATTATTATGTCATCTTCAAAAATCCCAGCACTCCCAGGATAAAAATCTCACGCCTATATCTCAGAAAAAGTTGGCAGGTATACCTTAATGTAAGATGCAGCAGTGATGCTGTGAGGAGGAATGAGATCCTGGTCACTCTAAAGAGTTAAAAAGGTTAAAATAAGAGACCTCAGTGATGTACCTATAAAGACAGAGATATTTGATATTATGGCACTAAAAAAAAACCATTTATCAATTTGGCACTTTTCATGATGCTGGCTTTTTCAAGTGATGGGCATGCAATGTTTTGCTCGTGATTTTTAAGCTAGCTTTCCACGTTCTCCCAACGTCCTGAGCTACTTTATCACATGAAATACACCAGGAAAATATGGGTTTTTATTGCTCTTATGACATAACTGGTTACATGTATGTTTTAAAAACCTGATAAAGCATCCACTTAGAAACAGAATTGACCAATCAGACCTTGTGTATACATATATATTGTGTTTATTATAAATTACAAATGTTTAAAATTTAAAAATTAGTAAGAAAAATCAATGCCAATCAGGAACCCAATAGTAATGGGCTCTTGTGCTAACCTGTTATGCATTAAAAATAAATTTTTTCACAGCAAAAAAAGTCTTGGCCATTGTTCACCAAGTTGGCTGGGATAGGTTTTGTGTAATGAAAAGGGGTTTTAATCTCTATTACCTGACAGCTGTCAAACCTACAATTAAAGGGATTTAAGGGTACATCTTTAATACCTGTATATATATGAATTTGATTAAAGATGCAATGTATTGTTGTTCAATAGTATGACCAGGTGCATTCATGAGTGATTTACCAAGCGTCCAGGTCTGAGAAAAACAGTCAGGTGACCACACCCCCTCCCTCCCTTCAGGACTTTTAACCATTAATAGAGCTCTCAAGTCTCACATGTTGAGCATTAGGTACATGACCAACAAATTCAATCTAACACCCTCCCTTAGGGTTTTTGCGTTTATTATTTCTTTTAGTACCATTATCTTTTTATACATGCTTCAAAAATGGAAATGGAAATTCTCACTCAGATTAAGGAAATTTACACGTCTTAGTTACTTAATTTTTCACAATTTTGCATGGGAACATGCCCCGATTCTCCTTCCCACCCCAGATTAACAATGCCAATGGCATCTCACTCTGCCAGCAAATGGACTTGAGGGTTCTGCATTAGTATTATTTGTAATCATTGATGTCACTAGTACTTTGTACAACTAAAAAATTTGTTACAAAAGATGTTCAATGTTAGACGTGCTAGCAGGGCTTGTGGACCTTTGACTGCTTTTTTATCAGAGAACAGTTTTGTTTAATTTTCCAAAAAATGAATTACCTAGTTTAGGACTATGAGTATCTCCCCTCATAGGTATGTGGGGGCCGTCTCCCCGTTACCCTCGGGCTTTGGTTCATAAATAGCGGCCAGGCACGCAAGCTAAGTATGTTGCTTTCCCTCTGCTTCGGTCGGAAAACTGGGACCAATTAGAAAAATGGCGGCCGCTTTTAGGAGAGTTAGAAAACGATGTTTTACGGTTCTTCAACAATGTAGCCTACGATTAACCCAAACAGACGCTTCCGTAAAATGCTCTGGCGATGTAAAATGTTCTCAGCTGCGAAAGAGAGGACTACTAAAAGTGAGGGGAAGAGATTCCGTAAAGTTTTTGCAAGGACTCGTCACAAACGATGTGGAGGCTTTCCACAATAATGTGGAACAAAAAGCAATGTATGGTATGTTCTTGAACGCCAACGGTCGCACATTATACGACACCGTTCTCTACAAAAGTGATGGCAGGGGAGACTTACCTGCATTTTTTCTCGAGTGTGACGTTAATGCGATACCAGAACTTACAAAGCATTTGAAGATGTTTAAACTGCGCTCGAAAGTTGACATTGTTCACGCAGAAGAGTATGTACCGTGGGCGATGTTTTCAATGTCAGGGACTCTAGACCTTAAGAATGTGTCGAGTACCTCGGACATCAAAGTGCTAGTGAAGGATCCTAGGATTGAGCAGCTGGGATTCCGTGCGGTGTTGCCTAAAGGCTCGAGTCCGTGTGTTTGTTTTGAAGATGTCTACGAGACTGGAGACAGCTTTGAATATGACGTGTTAAGAGCCAAGCTTGGTGTTTGTGAGGGAGTTGATGAAATACCTCCTGGAAATGCAATGCCCTTAGAATACAACATTGCATATCTTAACGGAGGTATATCTTGTAATTTACTAATTCAAACTCTAATGGTGACACCCATGGGGTCCAGAGTGGGTATGATTGTGGTCACAGGGTCCATCTGCAGGCTTCTCCCAACAGTGGAGATGTTGAGTGACCTTTACACAAAACAGCCAGTACAGAAAATTTAGGCTCAGCTGACTGTAAACTTTCATTAAAATATTTGACCTTCAATTAACAATTATGGAAAAATTGAGTAAAGTTTGGCATTTTCAGTGGCTACAACTGACAGTCATTCTTACACTCAATACCGATGAGTGTTTATCCATTGCAGCCCACTCACATGATTCTGCCAATACAACTTGCATTTTACCAATTAAAGAATTTTAAGAAAAGGGATTTCATTTCACTTTACTACATGTAGGTGTGGCTTATGAGAAGCTTGCCAAAAAATAAACAAAATGTTACAAACCTTGAAAACCTTACTCTGGAGAAACCACATCAAACTAAGTAATTGGTTTCATCAAATGAGTCATTAATGTAAATTGGACTCGGTAAAGAGTTTCTAAAGCTGACTTTTCAAGTGTTAGCTCTTCATTAGGGCAAACAACTGAAGCATTAAGTTTCAAAATTAATAAGTTTCTTTAGAAACTTATTCCCCTTTCAATTAACTCATCAGATTAGTTTGATGCCCTCAGCTTTTTGTACAGTTCCATAGTTTGATTTGTCACATAGAATATAAGTAAATTATTAGCTTTCTGTTCTTTTGTTAGTTTCTTTCAACAAAGGCTGTTATCTTGGACAAGAACTCATAGCCAGGACTCACCACACTGGAGTCATTAGAAAGCGAACAGTTCCATTCAAATTTATGGATCCCAAAGCTGATGCAAATCACTTTGAGCCAGGAGTAAGAGTAAGGACCTCTGATGAAAAAGCTGCTGGCAAGGTTTGCATGATATATGGGCAGTATGGGGTGGGGCTGATGAGGCTGGAACTGGTAAAGAAGGAAGAGGTACTTCTTATAAAGAATAAAGAGGACAAGGCCATGGAAGTTATTGCATCTTTGCCACAGTGGTGGCCTGAAGATGATCATGGCCTCATGTGAAATTCTTTTGATGATAAAAATGCTGGGAAGGAGTTTTGATCAGATCTTAGCAATGATTTATGAGCTGTTTCAGAAATCAATTTACAATGCTGTATTCTACCAGAGCCTTGTGTCACATGCAACTAACTTTTTTCTTTGGACTATTGTTTGTCATTGCTTTCATGAAAGCTGGGAATTCTAAAATCTTGAGGCAGCACCCTTCATGCATCAGTGGTTCTTTCATCTCAGATGCAGAACTTGAGGACTTTAGAAGAGAAGTCCCATAAACTATTTTGCAACATTCTTTTAAAGTGACAGATAAACACAAGTCAAAATAAAAAAAAAAATGTCTTTGTTAATTTGTAAGGTACACACCCTTTTGTTAGATACGATGAATATATGAAGTTCATATATTGCGATTATAGATATGTATGATGCACGATCCTAGCAGTAGAGAGCAGTATTTATGCAATAGCGAAAATCAGACCAGTGAAAAAAATCAGGCCTCTACAGGATTCGAACCACTGACCTCTGCGATACTAGTGCAGCGCTCTACCAATTGAGCTAACAAGCCAACTGGGAGCAGGCCGTTTTGAACGGCCTGCTCCCAGTTGGCTTGTTAGCTCAATTGGTAGAGCGCTGCACTAGTATCGCAGAGGTCAGTGGTTCGAATCCCGTACAGGCCTGATTTTTTTTTTTCACTGGTCTGATTTTCGCTATTGCATAAATAGCGCTCTCTACTGCGAGGATCGTGCATCATACGTACACCCTTTTGTGATGGAACAGTGTCACCCTTACCTTGCTTACTGCTTATTGGTAAACAAACTGAAGCTAGCATAACCATGTACAAGTAACATCATTTCACCTGGTTTACCAAGAGCTCAGTCTGAATAACTAAAAAGGAATAGGGCGTCAAGAGCTCAGTCTGAATAACTAAAAAGGAATAGGGCGCCAAAAGATACAAAAATGCATCTAGACTATTACAACAGCGACAAAGAGTTCAAATAAATTTAGCTTCATGCATACAATTATTGTTTCACTTGCTAAAGCCACTGATGCATTTGTACTTCGTTGTTGTTGTTGTTTTTTTTAACCGAAGTTGTTACAATGCACTAGAATGCTTGAATACAGTACCAATCAAAAGAAAGTACACAGTCCCTTATTTATATGATTCTTTATCTTTGACTTTCGAACAGTTTGAGGATCAAGGCAGTGGAAAAATCTGTTGGTAGATATTTCTTTGCAAGTGTTTAGTTATTGATAATTACTTAGAACCCTTAATTGGCAGTTTGAATCACTTATTTAGGTGCCTGATGGGGAGATTGTTGGAATGACATGTCACTAAGAATCTCCTGAATCTGTATTTTGATGGTTGCTGGAAAAATAAAGTGTACTTTGGAGATAGAAAACTTCAATACTGATCAGTTAATTTGAGAAATCAAAGAGCTCTGTGGAGTTGTATCAAATTCATTGTCAAACAAAGCAATGCTAACCATTAATTATTTTTCAGAGAATTCCAGGGATGGCCACGCAATCTCTGCAAGCATTTTATAGAAGATTTACTGTTTTTTTCGTTCAGTCTCTCATTAAACATTTTTCTCGACTCGGTGAAAACCAACCACTGCATGAAGAGTCACACAGAAAATTTAAAGTCATGCCATTTTAACAGCTCCTTTGTTGTCAATGACAATGACTTTTAATGCTCTAAGAACCTGAAAAGTAATAAAATGCACTGGTTAATGCAAAGAAGTGCAAGTTTGCACAATGCACTGGCTATGCTTCAAGCTGGACAAAGTCTATTTGCTTACTCAGTTATCTCATGGGAACATGTATCTTATAGTGGGCCTCAATCATGACATTGGTTATTAAATCGGTGGCTGCATCAGTTAAGTATTGGTCAAGCATTGGCCCATACTTGACCGATATGTTGTCTAATACTTGACCAATGTATCGACCTGAGTGGCAATTGAGATGTATGCTCTTTACTTGCATGGAAATAAGAACAGAGCATTACATGAGAATGTTGTACCTTTAACTTTGCTCCTCCAGTTGCTCCAGTAACCTTCAGTCCCATTTTTGTCAAGTCTTTGGGAGTTAGACTGGAACTATTAAGAAAAAATTATATAGAATCTATATAATGAATATAATGTAAAATCAAATATGTGATACTGCTGTTATTTGACCAAATGGCAGGGTGATTGACACAAATGTTATATTTTTTAGCCTACCAACAGTCTTGTAGTTAAGAGTGCTAAGAAATACACTCGCATACCTGTGTTTGTTTTTCTTGAAATGATGAAACAGAACATCATAAACCTAGCAAAAATCATTACATTAGTTGGTATCTACTTGTGTCCCCCCCCCTCCCTCCCTCTCCTCAAAAAAAAAAAAAGAAAGTGGATCTTTTCTTGTTTTGTTACAATACACTAAAATATTAATCAGTGCCTCTCCTAATTTCCCTTTTCTAACAGAATTGTTGAATTGATATCAGTCAAAAAGTGAATGTGTAATTTGTAAGTCTTGGGTTTAAATTATAAGTTCAAATTATCACTTAAAATTAATATTTTTGCATGGCCTCTTTTTCATCTTACCTTGTTAACATCCTGAAGTTTCACCCGTCCTCTCACAAGTTCTGAGACAGTTAAAAATTCTCTCTCATCAACAGGAACAAATTCATGTTTCCCTCTATTCACAGGTTTTATATCAGATTCTGCAATGAAATAGTAAGTTCTCAAAACAGTTTCTGTTATTAGCTCATTAAGTAACATCAGTGAACAAAACTTTAGGAAAAACCAACATCTTGCATCACTGAACTTTAAATTGCAAGTAAAAATTTCCCTAAAAGCTGAGTTTTTCTATTGCTATAAGACAATTGCCAGAAGTGTGTCTTATATTTGACATCTTCTGGTGACAACACCAATCCATGTTTTAGTACAGAGAATGTGCTGCTATAGCTTTGTTTTGGGCTTCGAAGGAATGTAACTACACAACAAAAGACTAAATTGAAACAGTCTTACAGAATGCATAATAATTACTTAATTCGAATTTTTATGATTTTCATTCAAAGAAGAAAGTAAAAAATTGCAGACATTTCAGTTTTTATTAGTAAGTGTCTACCAAAAAAAACATTCTTAATTATTAAATTTAATATTTTGGAAATCATGCAGACCCACAAAGCTCATTATAACATTGTACACTGTAAAACTTGCTTCACTTCAGAAATGCAGTAAAAGACATTTTACCTTGCTGGGTTTTGCTCTCTGTGCCTTCAGATTTGTTTTCCTTGTCTTCTTCATCAGTACTCAGCTCAGAACTAGCAGTGTCTTAATAATGTAAAATAACAGACAATCAGATGTCTCAATTATTTGTCAATTGAGGAAAAAAAAAGAATCCAAAAACTTACCTGTAGATAGGGGAGACCCCCTCCAACTGAAACCTCACACTTGAAACAAAGGGGTTTTCCATGTCTTTCCCTCACACACGCAACAGCCATTTCATTCTTGGCAAATAAAATCGGACTTCCCAATAATTCACTCCCAAGATCCCAGTTGTAGTAATTTTCCTGAATACCTCCCATACAATTCTTCCGAGATTAGTTCAACGAATTTTGTATTTGATCAACCAATTATCCCCTAGTTGGGATATTCTTTTATTCTCATCACTTGTATGCTGGATGATGTATTGATACACTGTTTATCAAAGAAAAATTCTGGCTTGGTCACTGGTTAATTGCTCTACCCTGTACATCTCAACCATACCTATCTAGACTAAAAACAAACTCCTTTTTGACAAAGTCCATCGCACAAGTCAAAAAAAATTTCAGTGAAAAAAAAGGTTAAGGTTAGCGTGCGATGGGAAACTCTTTAAGTGATGGTGATACCCCACGGGAACACTTCTCAAGCACCTCACCCATGGAGCTCCTGCAGTGCATCTATGTCACTTTAAGAGTTCCCCATGGCACACTAACAGCAATTTCTTTTTTTATTCATGCTACTTACTTCATCAAGGGACTGGGACTACAAGGGACTGCTCGTAGTCTAATGCCTATCAGTTCAAAACAAAGTCAACACAAATGGCACTGTATTTCATGACACTACAATCATAGGGAAGTCACACATGTTTTCACCCTTTTTTTTTTCTACATTGTCAAATGAAGGAATTCCAAGTTATTGATCAAGTCATAACATACCTTTTCTAATAGAAGACACTGATGTTTGTAGAAACCTCTCATCATCACTTTTTTCCATGACCTTTTGTACAAAGAGAGACATTTTTTCATCAAAAACCATACCACACAACACTGTACAAGAACAAAATAAATATTCAGGTACATGGGATTCAATTCTCACGGAGGAGCTGCCGGCCCTTCTGTGTGAAGATTTTGTAAAAGAGCTAGTTCTAACACTATAAAGTCATTCCTTTGCAAAATAATTTTTTCCAATATACAGACTTGACGTATAATCTGTGGGGTGCAGTTTTTGTGCATCTAGTTTGACAGGAATCAATTCATACATATAATTGGAAGAGCTAGATGTAGAAATGTTTTTGTATGCAAACAAAATGTAAATTGTAAAACAATGGTTTGTGCTTCTTTGAAAAATATTCCAGGAAAAAAAATCTGCTTTCCTGGCAAAATTATTTTCACTGCTATGAGAAACAAAGAAAGTGCATATCAGCAAAGCAATGAAAAGGAAGTATCTTCCAAACTGTAATGGGAGGTAACCTGCGATGGACTGGCATTTCTTCAGGTGAAGTTTTTACCTTTTAAACCCTAACATCTGTATGTATATTCTCCTTACTGTTCTCTATACATTTTCTATGTTATGTAAAGGAGAATTTGTCTGTCAATCTAGAACTCCCTAGGTTTATGATCATTTTATTTATTCTCAAGACCTTAATGTTTGATTCGGGGGTGATACTGTTGGGAGAAATTAAATGCTAATCACTCTTAGGAGTTTAAAGGGTTAACACCCTTGGGGCCCATTTCTTGAAAGTCACTATAAAGTCATTCCTTTGCAAAATAATTTTTTCCAATATACAGACTTGACGTATAATCTGTGGGGTGCAGTTTTTGTGCATCTAGTTTGACAGGAATCAATTCATACATATAATTGGAAGAGCTAGATGTAGAAATGTTTTTGTAACCGAATGGGCCCAAAGTCATGATTTAAAATCAAAAATAATTTAAAGGATAGGAAAGCAGGTTCTGGCACCCACACCAGTCTTTTTTGTTTCTTTAGCTGACAGTTTTATTATATCATTTTCAAAACTTTTTAAATCCCTATCTTGAATGAAAACAGATCTGCTTTATGGACCCATTAAGTTACCAGGACTTTTAAGAAACAGGCCCCTGGAACCTGCATTCTATGGGAAATGGTGTGTATGCTCTGGTCAGAGAGCCCCTTGGCTCAACTGCAGACTTACTTGACTTAATGTAACAATAAATCCCAGTTTGCCATCCATATGTGAAACCCAAAAATAAGGAACATGTTAATGAACCTACCATAAGACCAGCACATTTTTGTGAATGACACAGAAGATCCTGACATGCTAAAATTTGGTTCCTGACATAAGCCTGTATTTCCTGTCATTTTACAAGGTGAAACACTAAATTGAGAAAAGCACCCATAGAAAGATTTTCTTCATTTTCAAAACTATTATTTATTGATGATTTCTTGGGATAACACTCTTACTGCTGTGGAAGAGGTGGTACTGATAAGAATAATTGTGGTGACAGTTGCATGAATTTTGGGGTAAACTATATATCGTCATATGATACAAACCAAAAGGCGTATTGCAGCAAACTTTTCAACAGACTAGGTATTGGTTGCACCTCATTCTTGTTTCACTCACCTGTTGTTGAGAATGTATCTGACTTGCTTGTTCTGAAAGATTTTTAAATTGTACTTTGGCTTGGTTTATTCTTTGTAGAAGTTTTATTGGGTTGAGCTAAATGTTTAGAAGGACAAACATAGCAGTATTAGGTACCTGTTAAAAATAACTCAGATATTGATGATTTCTGTGTGATAAAGAAGTGAGTGACCTGAAACTTGCCATCACTCTTGCAGACTAGTTGTAACACAATTAATGTGGCTTGTGATTTGCAAACTGATCAAACTGTTAGGGGTCAGTGCGCTGGACTCTGGGTCAGATGGCCCGGGTTCAAGTCCTGGCTGGAGCTTGACGTTGTCCTTAGACAAGACGCTTCACTCACATTGCTTCATCTTTTCGGATAGGACGTAAAGTCAGAGGTCCCATCTCCTGCACCTATCAATTAGTTAATTTCGGCAGGGGACATTAAAGAACCCACATCACGAGATTACTAGCCTGTTTACTGGGAATGGGGGGAGGGGGCATCTGCAAAATTTCTCCTTTATTAATTGTAAACTGCCGCTGGCAGTCTGGAAAAGTCCCCTGCACAGTGTTGTAAAGTGCATTAATTAGAGCATTTACATGGAAATGCATTATAGAAATCGATATATATTATGATTATTATTATGATTATTATTATTATTATTATTATTTTTGTTAAGGTTTCGCTTTGAAGTTTCATTTGATCCAAACATGTAAATACATTCTGCTGTCACAAAATGAGTTGGGGGCAAACTGGTAAAGATAGGAGCAACTTTGCTTTGCTGCAGGGGGCATACTGGCAAGGGTGGTAGGGGACAAACTTTAGCTACTATAAACACAGGCAATGAGTCATCAACAATACCTACAATTTGCTCAACCGTGCACCAAAAAAATACAAGGGAATGTACCAAATTAAAAAAATTTACTTCGAAAAATATGAGTGAATAAATGTATATAATGAAGATGAACCTGCTCTTGGCCTTTGTCTAAAAACTGTTGTGAAAATTCAGTTTCCAGTCGGAGGGAGATGTAGTTGAGGTCTGACTCTGCCTTCTGAAACTGTTACAAAGGAAGAAAGTAGCTATATAAATGTAAGTTTGTTGTCGGGGTTGCATGAAGAATTACTGCTTCCACTACTTCGTAACTTAAACTAGGACGTTTGCGGAACTTAATGTGTGAAATTTGAATTTCTCAAATTTTCGACCGTACTTTTTTGTTTACTTCAATACAAATACTAGCGTTGGCAAATTTGAAAATTCTCTCGTCCAAAAAGAATCCAACTCCGTGCACTGATTCCCCTCGTCATGCATAAAATAAAAAAAGCTTTGGCTAGAAGTAGCTCAATTCTACAACTTATGAATTCTTCTGCATTCAAGGTCTTCTCAAAACAGTCAGCATTTGATGGACGCTGTGGTGATCGATACAACATTACACTCGTCATGCTCAAGATGGCCTCCAAATCGCAGTAAGCTTATTATCGCGTTCCGAAAAAGCCGTATTTTAATTATGATAATAATAAAAAATTGGAATGAAACTCTAAATTTGGAAGCTTTCTTAATATGTTATTTTTTCTTGGCTGAAGCAACATTTAAAACACTGTTTCAAACGCCAACAGGTACGGAATCTGTTTTCACTGTTGAGGTTTTCGTATTTGGCGCCAAAATTTGCCAAACAAAACAAAGCTTATAGAAAGCACTTAATTGACTATGAAGCTAATAGTGAACAAAGTGAGAGTAAAATTCACATGAAAAGTTGATTAGCAGTATCAATGAATCTAGCAGAGGCTCAAAAAGGTGATTATATTCACCAAAGCTTCCAGCTTATCCACTGCAGGCTCCATGGTTTGCAAACTTTTGAAGAAATCACTGTCATGTAAGTCACACAAACAGTATCACAAATGTCAAAAAAAAAAAAAGTTCAAAAAGAATAGGTCCGCATTACGTATTGATAGAACCCAAAACGGCGGCGCCTCGCTGATTTTGCGTTGCGGTACGATTTACCATCGATAATTCCATCTTTTTTTTTTTTTTTTCACTATCATTCTATTCATCGACAGGAATATCAAGCTGTCACGCACTCGGCCAAAAACACACTATTCTGCCATCGAATATCAATATTTCAAAACTCGTCATTCCGTAGCATTCGGGAGTTTTCAACAAGCATTCTTCACGCTCCGCATGCTTTTTTAGTACAGAATGTGGAGGTGTTTACCAAACTTAGGTATGAAGTTGAGTACTCCAGGGCAAAAACAATTACTTTTTGTCGAGGAGATGTGTCCTCGCGCGCCGGTAAGTAAGAGAGCTTAAGTCGGTAAAACTATTCCAGTTACGCCAAAGACACGAAGGCTACTTATGAAAATCTTTTGAGCCAGAAGCTTAAGTTCAAGTGCCTGACAAAATTAATCATGAGTCGCGAAAAGACAAAATAATAATAATAATAATAATAAATACATAGCAACCAGCCAAAGACATAGTATTAAGGGTGTTTACTGGATCAGTAGCTTTCCGGCATAAAGTTGTCGAAATCAAATGTAAACGAACTGAAACGGACGACATACAAGTGCTCCCCCATCATGTTCAATGAAGCCGAAATAGCGCGTTTGGATGTTCGCACGCCTAAATCTTCGCCTCGTTTTGGAGGAGGAGAGGGGTAGGGTGGGGCCTGTCACATTCATTTTCGAGTAATGTGAGAGATTGGAACCGGAGAACATCTTTCATCTGACAAGCGTAAACAATTGAGTCTATCCTTTTTTTGGTTCATAAGTGTTTTTGACCCTTACCTTGACCTAAGGGACTCATCCAACTGACTTGATGACAATTCAGTATTTGATCAGTAATGAAAGTATTTCAAGGGCCTAGCCCGCATGTGACTGCTCTCTTTGTAAGGAAAAGCGACAATTAATCAAAATAAAACAACCTAGAAAACCCAAATGCCCGTAAAAAATGCTCTTAAAACAGAACCTCCCTACTTCGAAAACCTTCCTAAACCCATATTTCCTGTCTCTAATCATGAACAGTAAATCAAACAGTCAGCTAATCAAATATCACTGAATTTATTCAGGTCGTGTAGGCTGTCCTTTATCTTGCGACTGAGTTTAGCGGATTGTGCGCTCAAGGATTAGCTTACGCGGTCTTGAAAATTTCGTTTTATTCTAAGTGCGTCCCTATCATCTACTCTTCTAGCTAAACAAAATCTGTTGCAAAGAACAGCTTAAGGGAAAAAGAAATGTTCAATCCAGATTCGGTACTCGCGACTCGCTACAGCACGGTGCTCAAGTAAACTCTTGTAATTATTTACATCAAGAGATTGTTAAAAAATCTACACGCTTGTGTGAGCAGTACATTTTTTTTCTTTCTAAAATACACTTTAAAAGTTCTTTTCATAATATATTCTCTATTTGACTTAACTTTTTCTCCTCTGAGGCAAAAGCCAGAAGTAGGTACTTTTACCGTTTGACTCCCATAGGCGATTAACAAATAACTCATCCCTGGAAAATCAATACATTACCCAGCAAACAGGTAATGAGAATAAACAGGTTAAGTCGTTGTCTTGATCAAACGCCAAACTCCTGTTACTAAATTATAAGGAAATGTGTAGCAGTCGGAGGGGAGAATGAGCCACCAGATTTTGGGAGTCAAGGGTTAAAAGCAACGCAATAAATTTTTTTCCCAGATCTTTCTGAGAATATTTGTTATTCTGTATGTGGTGAAAGATATGGGGGATAATCGCTTTATATGTATATATACGAACGAAACGAACTTAACTTTACAAATAAATAGCTATACAAAAGCGCGATGATAAATTGAGTGTCGAAAGAAACCAGAGACTTGTTGAGTAGGCTTTGCTTCAGTCGTTCTGTGATTGGTCAAGAAATATCGTACCATTTTCTCCACCAATAAGACACTAAGTTACACTATTGGTGTTGTGGTCACTCGGCACTCTGCCTCTATGTGACATGAGTTCTCATAGACTCTTTGTGGTACACTATTTTTCTTTTTCTGAGACTGGCCTAGGTAGTTTCTCTGTTTTCGGTCTGACGACAATTGAACGAAATGCACTCTAAAGTAGGGAGGGGGTGATCGTCCTGCGCCATACCAATGGTTGTACCGAATATCGCACGGAATAACAAAACTGTTAGATCCTCTTGAAGATTTCGTGTCTCAGCAAACGTCTTCGCTGACGACGCGAAGAGCTTTGTGTACCGTTAACTCTTCTCCCCAACAGAGAAAGGAAAAAATCTTGGTTTAGCCTTGGTCCCTTTTTCTCTTTCACGCATTCGTGATCTTCACAGATAAGTCGGGCTTCGCCACATGGACAATCGGTGTTAACTTCACAATAAGTCTTGTAGATACGGTGGCACTGAAAAATAATTGGTTCTGTTTAGTATAGTAAATCACCAAGGAAGGCGTTGATTTCAAGAAATTTCCTGTCAACTAAAGTATAGTACGCAAATACTCTCTCGCGAGTCAACCCAGCCCTCAAGGACTTCCGCAAATATCTTTAGAAAGATTGTCGGAAGTTCCCTTCAAAGTTAGCGCAGTTTATTTATAATATAACCTTAGAATGAGATGAAAGTTGAAGACCATTGTCATTGAAGTCTCGATACTGGCATTTCAGTTCAACGTCTTCAACTAAGTATCGCAATTCGCTCTTACGAAATGTCATCTTTAGAAACTTTCTATGGTGGCCAATTTAAATAATTAACTCAGTTGATTAATGCAGTAAATGATTAAACAAAACTAACCTGACTACAACAATAGTTCCCCAGGTGGCTGTTCAAATTTGAGCATGTTAATTAAAGAAAAACCTTTATTGCTACTTTTCCACCTATTTCTAACCTCCTCCCAAATTCCGAACGGCCTACATTGAATTTTTTCAAATAAGAATAAAGCTGCTCGCACTCTGTTTCTGATCCTGAAGATACATTAGGAGGATCAGACGAAAAATCTCTCCTTAGAGGCAACCACACTTGGTGCCCAAATCACATGAGTCGTAAACATCAGTTTGCATGAGTGATGAAGATGCCGAAACAGAATCTCGACTTATTTTGCCACACTTGTCTTCTTAGCACGAGTCAACAGAATTCCTACTACACTACTAGAGGTCGTTTTAAAGTTTCCGTCCGGGTATTTTCTTATCGAGAATAAGCTTTTCATTAAAATCTTTGGAAAAAAAGTATTTATGTCCACGAATGCGGACACTGTTCCATTACTCTAGAGTCTTCTCACGGTGTAGGGAGATCGTTCAGTGTTGTAAAGTTATCGCTGAAACAGTTAACTAATGGAACTTACTGGCTGCCTCCTCTGGATTTGATCCACAAATGTTTCCTTCTCGCATCGCAATCGGGTATTGCATATCAAGGAACTTTTGTTGTGACGGTTCAGACATGCGCACTCGCTGTCTTCACTACAAGGGCTACCGCGAATTTTGCCACACTGTAAAAAACAAATGGTAAACAACATCACAAATAGCACACAGTGGTATCTCTGAGATTCCACCTACAAAGTTTGAACCCATGACCCTCCGAGGAGGGCAGTTTTGTATTTTACGCCGACTGAAATATAGCTTAATAATAAAACTTAAGTTGATGAGCACAGATCGGTGTGATGTGATATGTCGACAGCTCAAAGGTCCCAAGCTGTGAGCACGAATGTTTCAAAATTTGGAAGGGCATAACGCACAAGCTCCAGTATCATGCTAAAGTTGACATATTTTTCCCAAAAAGAAGTCCGGCAAAAGCCTTGGACATAAGGAGTCTTCAATGGACATTAGGACGTTATTCATCAGTTGGACGCAATGAGAAATCCAACCATGAATTCCTCAAAGAGACAAGAGAGCAAAATAAGGAAGACTGGTATCCTTATGAGTGCGTAGTCTAGAGAAAAATACAACAAAAAAGGGAGGAATTATCCTTCCCTTAAATCAGTGGGCTGTCGAAACAACGCAGTAACCGAGGAAGGGGGTAGATCTCAGGATCTTATCTCCCCCACCCTAGTATGACTAAACAATAATTAGGATTACGAAACATTCAAGTATGCTCCTAAACTCCAGTGGGTCGCTACAATAGCCGCCTAATCTCCCCCTCCCCCCCCCCCGGCCCCTCGTGCCTAAAAATCCTGTCTAATTAGAGACAGATAAGAGCTTTCGTCATTGAGTAATGGCGAAGGAATCCTTAATCCTTTCAAGAACCTAGGATTAGTCGGCAATAGGTCACACACGTGTCCATCCAAGCCTGCTGCACGCGCGAGGAAGAGATGGAAAAGGTAAAAATTGTGAAATGAAAACGTGATCGGAATGTACAAGAACGACGACATGAGTTATATAACATGACTCTCTCATGTGACGAAAAACGTTTGGTAGAAAAAAAGTAAAACAGAAATATGAGAGGAGCCTTTACGTGAGGCAATGATAAGTCAACAGTGAAAAAAAAACAAAAAAAAAACGGGTTGATGAAACTTCCTTTAGATAATTCAGTGACGCAGAACTTAAAAGGAAGATCACGATTGTTCAATAATTCAAGTAAGTTCCCCTAAAACGTTTCTCCCAATGTAATAACTAAGGATTTTTGTTTTTCAAAGAATACATGATACGCTTCAGAGTCAGATCTTTATATGTAAGGTGCTGGCTGGTTAAAAGAAGACACGCATTACCCAATACCCAACTCAGCCCTTAAGGAAGTACACACCAAATACAGGAAATTGGATCGAAGGTAGAATAGGAGAAACAAAACTTACTTGTGGTGGACTTGGTGCGGCTTCAGTCCAAGCCAGGAACGCCAACAGAAAAAGGAAAAAATTCATCGTCTTTACAGTCACGCACTTTTCAGGCAACCTTGAACCAAAAGAACCAGAGGAGCATTAAATACAGAGAACGGGTCAGTTTACCAAGACTTGTTAAGGCGATGAGTTCAATTTTCGAGGATTCTATGGTCGTTGAATGACGCGTTTCAACAGATTACAAGCCGAATGATCTATTGAAAAAATATCTCTCTACCTTAAGGCCACAGTTAAGTAACACAAATGGGATTATTATGGTGATATTTGGCAAATCTGCTAACATAATTAAGAGTGCGCTGTTGTTTCTTGGACTCAATAATCTACAGGTGTCACAAAGCAGCCGATTTTATCACGAACGCGCAAAGGATTTCTATTTTCTTACTGAAAACTGAATATTTTACGTTTTTAAACAAGACTTGTCAAATCTGGGTTCAAAAGCGTCCTCTAAACTTGCAAATTAGTTGAGAGCAGAGAGGAAATTTCCGCAGCTAAAGTAAATTCCCTTTTTTCATCTTTCAACGAAGAGTAATTTGACGGCACTTTCTTCCACGCAAAAGCATCTTAAGTAGTCTGAATTTCAACATAAGTGGAGCATGGAACGTGAAATATTCGACAAACAAAGGACGTTTCTTCCGAGAAAGATCAGTCACTAGAATAAATAAAGGATCAAGAAACAGACTATGAACTCCTAGCCAACGCCCTCGAATTAAACAAAAAATGTCACGGAACATGAACACCGATTTTAGATTTTTTCTGTTTCATGTTAAATTTTTGCTGAAAACGATGGACAGGAAAATGATATTTAAAACGAACACAGTACTGAGTAGAGCGAGAATTGAATTACAATGTTTAAAGACTGGTCAGTTAAGAGTGCATCACACTAAAGATAACGTAACAAGAAAAATGAGCCTATAAACTCTGGCGTACTTTTCCGACTCTAATCCTCAGATTAATCCAACAAAAAAAGTAGTAAAACATTTCCTTTTCACAACAAATGCAAATATTTTCAAATTACTGTTACCTTGGCCGCAATACAAACAACAAAAGTTCAACTCTTGCCATTTACCGTACGCGTAAACATGATTTTTTTTTTTATCTTATGTTGTAAAATACCTCTTCAAAACTTGGCATATGACAGTTTTTCACTGTTTCTTCACTGAGTTTTGTCAGTGAACTCTTAATCTTTGATAATACGTCTATACAGGTCCGTCGAAAAACCTAATGTGAACCCATCCTTGGTACTTAAACATTTTCGAGGCATTCGTAGCTCTACAAAGAATATAAAAGTTGTTTTTTAACGATATCTTTGTTCGTCACAATATCAGTGAACTATGTTTAAGTATTTAGGCAAAGTCCAATAGGTCTTATTTTTCACCTACCGAAGATATAGATTGCCAACTAAAGAGAAGCGCAAAAAATCGAACAATCTGAAATCTCAGGAGAAGAAGTGGAGAAAATTCAAGCAACTTCTAACTGAGCCCCAAAGCGGCCGAAGCCACATGGGAGCGACGAAATTCTAAGTTAAAGTATACTTATGCGTCAATTACGATAATTTATCACGTCATTAATTAAAGAGCTTATTTTGAGAATTAAGAAACACTGATATAAAAGCATAAGAACATGTTAAGCATCATTATACATTTGTTTCGAGAGTACGAAAAATGGCGGTTTTTTGTGAAGACTCCATCTTGAAACCTTCCGATTGTGACGTCTGATGGTCTACTTGATTGATACGGAACAAATATGCTGCGTAAGCAATTCCGAACGCCTCTCGTAAGAAGAGAGTACAAGAGGGAGAAGCTGAGGAGGAAAAAGCTGTTTGCATGCGAAAGGATGTGGGTGAAGTTGAAACTCGAAGGAGAAACATCACCGTTTTGCCATTTTCCGTAAAGTTTAGTCACGGGAATTCAGAGCAAAGCATCATGCTTTGAAACTGTTAGAGATAAGTGGGAAATTGGAGGAAGAGGGAGGAATAATTACGCATTCATGTTGTTTGAAATGACGCAATGGCACTGACTCAAAAAACTAATTGTAAATTTTCCTTAACAACTCAATATTACGCCGGCAAACAGAGTGATTCCATTTTCTCGCCTACGCGCGCTCTTCACAACAATTCTGTACCGTTTCCAGTTTTCTCGAGCTTTTAATAAAGTGACACATATTTCGGTTGCGGTTGTTCGAGAGAATGCGTTAAGTACATAAGCAGATAAAGCGGTGAAGAGACAGGAAAGGCTCGCGTGTGCGACTCATATCCGCCAGGAAAGAAACCCAAGCATAGCACGAGTTTCTAAGGCGGGTGAGGACAAAAGAAAAAGCCTTCTCGACAAATACCAAATTATGAATAATTTAATGGCTTGCTGCGATGAAAGCGTATTTTTGTCAGCGAAAAATAACTGCGGTTTGACACGCAAGCTAATGGAACAAAGAAAAGTATTTGTCTTCGCCAAAACATTACTGTGGTTTCATACCAACTTGTCGAGTTCGCCGACTTCTTTAAAAAATAATATAGTACTAAAATATGTTATGCAATTCTTTTAACAAAAAAACAAAAAAAAAATTCCTTGTTTCATAATCTGAGAATTGACCTTTCGAAGGTGTCAGCAAAAAGAAAATTAAACTACTGAAAAACAACTAGCAACGCATTGTATTACGCAGGGTATTACTCGCCTACAAAATTGCTAAAATTGCTTAACAATTACATAACCTCAAAAGTTTGCCTTGTGTTTTCTTTATATCTTTCTTTGAAAGCGATATTGGTATATTTAATACGAAAGGCGAGGAAAATTGAAAATTAATTGGCATCACAAAGCCATCATAGCATCAGAACTTCCTGAATGTACAGCTCACCAAAATTATAGCAGATTAAAGAAGCTTGCCGGTTATCTCTCTCGATCTATGCAACTGCCTAATAAATATGTACTCCGTTTACTCAAAAAGACATAATGATGATCACCAATGGTTGACTAAGGAATATCTTTGGTTAGATGCATTGTTAATCACTCTTTTTTTGAGGAGAGAAATCTAACTTTCGGATATGAGAAACAATTTCAAAATTATTGATCATTCCGCTCATAAAACAAAAGAGGTTATAAATCTACCCACTTTATGTTTAATCTTTATGGTTTTAGCTACAAACTGATGATCCTTCTTTAAAAGGAAGGAAGACCTATTCTTCAACTCATTACCAAGCAGAAGAGAATGTGTGACGAAAGGAAAAAAACCCCGAAGGAAGTTCCCGTACTGATATAGAGAAAAGTAAAATTGTGTTTACACTTCATAAATACCTTTGGAAGAACTTCCTCAGTCGGGCACTCCAAATCAAAAGCTCTCTCTCTTACTTCCCTTGAAGTGTTTTGTTACAGTGTAAAACTTGTGTTTAACCTTTCCTTCACTGACGTAATGGTGGAACTGCTTAGTCTAGAGACAATTTAAATATTTATACATGTGCCGAGACATATCATGCCGAATCAAGAATGTCTGACATTCACAGAACAATACCACTCCTTCAAATAGGGCTACCACAACTAAGTGAATGCTTTGAGGTCAACTAGCCATGAATAGAAAGTGAAATACTTCTGTGATTTGTAATGGCACACCTTGCGTGTCGGATGTGTTCTTCACTGTTCTTCTGTTTTCCTTGTTTTGTTTGCTCCAGCTGCTTTCAAAAAAGGAAGATGGCGCTATGACGAAAATGTGCCATAAATGGCAAATCTAGAAATGAAAAATCATGTCCTGCTACTTTTTAATGCTTACGTTATAGTGCAGTGAGAATCTTTCAACAGTAACACACGGATCAAAGCTATCGCCTATAGCAACTAAGCCGGAATGAACAAGGAATTTTGTTTACGAATTTTCTAGAAATTAAATCACATTGCCAAATTGTCCAACGAAACCTTAAACTATGTGTACTGAAACCCATATCTGCGCCTTAAAACATCCTGCCGGATACAGGAAACCCCGAATGTTCAACTAGGATCGATTATTACCTAAAAACTGTATCGAATTATCACAAATGAAACCATAAGTATTCTCGTTTCCTTTCTGTGTGGGAGGGTTAGTGGCTGGGTTCTCTTAATTTACGATAATCACACCAGAGGCTTCCCGCAGATTCATTCATTTTCAGAAGCTTTAGGAGCCTACTGTGAAGTTTTATTATAACCCGATGAGTTGGAAAGATACACACCATAGATAAACACATTTTATAAATGACTGGGATGAGTTCACGTGTATTTGTTGAAAGGTGTTTGATTTTCTGATTTCCTTTTTGATCTCCACTGTAACTCAGCGTTAGTCAAAGGATCCAGGAAAACTTGTCAGTTTTAAATTAAATTTACAATATACCAGTATTTTAGTATTGGGATGCCGTGATAAGACCTCAGGATTTGTAAGTTGCCACACATCAGAAAGAAAATGCTAGCAGAAGATCAGAAAAGGATTCGACTTTTTTTCCCTATAGGCGAAATCACGGTAACATACCTGTATGAAAAAGATAGAAGAACAAAACTTTTAAAAAAAGTTCAGAAATTCAAGAATAGACATGCAGATCACGGTAGAAAAATCTGGAGAAGTTACTTCAATTACTGAAAGGAAGAATGATGACACTAGAATGCCAAAAAAATATGAATTGCACAGATCATATCTTTTTGAGAAATGCGCGACTTGTTTTTCTGTCAGTGATCTATTGCAAGAAAATTAAATAATTTAGATGTTTCAAACACGAAAGTTATCAGTATCTTTGGTGTTAACGAGCTACCAAGCGACAAGGAACACTTTTACGTCTGCACAAATAAGCTAGTCACGAATACCCTCGTGGCACTCTCTATCGTCTAAACTTAATACCACTATTTTTTTCTCAGTTAATCTGCAAAAATCATCAGTCTGAAAGTATCTCTCACAGTAGGTTTTGAGTATGGATATGTATGTACTGAACAATGCCCACGTATGTAAAACCTCCCATACTGAAAAAAGACACTTGTTTCTTTGTGCAGACCACTAACCTCTTTCACAGGTTGTGCACATAAAAGGGTCTTATCGTTTAATCCTAATTAAGATCGTAAAAAAAAAAATAGTCTGTGGTTCTCGACTTTTCTCGTAACAGTTAAATGACTCTTCCATAAAACATCTTGCTTTAGCAATCTTGTTTTTGCGCTTGCAGTGGTTACCGCTGATAGGGTCGCTGTTGGATCGTGAGAGGAGCTTGTTGTTCCATCCCTGACAATTAATCATAGTTTTGCTTATATACTAAATATAACGTGGCCTTCTTCCAAAACTTGACTTGGATGTGTACCAACTAAATTTTATGACGCAAATGGAAATTAAAACTGGACAAATTGCATGGCTAGTCAGAGGTTTTCCAATAGAGTCCGCAGAAGTGGAATGCAAGACATCCTAGAATGTGAAATTTCACCCTCAGTGGCTGACCCTAGCACGTGATCCTTGCTATAAAGAACTGATAAGCAGAGGATTTGGTTCAATCGATTCATTTTGGTTATACCGAGCATAAAGTGTACTTTCTGGCCTGAAATTCTATTTTACCTGGAAAAGTCCGCATATAACAGTTTAACTCATTCTCTCAAGTCAAGGTTCCCTTTATTCGAGTCACCAAGACCTAAAAAAAGGTGTGCTTTGTAAGGTATGTTTTAAAAATTTCTTCTGTGTTTTCTCTCCGTTTTTCCGCGAGGTGAATGCAAACGCCCTTCACACACCACTTGCATTTGGAATGTCGTTTCCGACCTAAATCGATGTAAGAAACTTAAGGACACCTTCGTTCTTTAGACGCCAAATCGTGGTGCGCTTGCATAGAGCATCCACACGCTTTCTCCATGTTCATCAGTGCTACTTATGGTGTGAAGATACGTGCCAGTTAAGGTTTAAAGTGCAGATTTTTCCACCATGTAGATGGAACTTGTCTCTCTTTTATCATCCAATGTTCATATAAGAACATCCTGGCCTTTTTCCTTCACTACATAACCGTAATCATTTAACCTTGCGAATTCCTCCCGATCTATATTAACTAATTTTCATTATCAGGATGGTCAAATATAACAACTATAACCGATAACGTGTTTTTGCTTTCGATAAAAAAAGAACAGCAACGGAGGAAGAGAAAACTTCGAGTTTAGATGGTGTTTATAATCAAGCGTTTGAATTGATTTAAAATCTGACATTTTGAGCTACAGTTAAGCACTGTGGTAACAATTTATGTTTAAAAAAAAAAATTAAGATATAAGTCCAAACTGGAGTCAGCACGATCCGGCAATAGTGGAACAGAAAAAAAGCTATTAGATATGATAAATTCTAGAAAACGTACAAGAATGCTAACTTCATTCATCGACGTAGATGCCTTCTGAGATTAAATCCCCTCCTCCGGTTGTACTGATTCTGCTGGCAAAATCCCCATTTGAGGAAAAGAGACCCTTGTTGTTCGTTATACGGCAACAGCAGTGGCCTTAGCTTCTGGCAGTGACGCATACTTTTTTTGGAGCAGTTTTTAAGAAACATGCTATATTTTTGAAGGGCCAAAAATCATCGAGATGCCTGAAATGATTAGCGTAAGGCTTTGTGTGCTTCTACTTCTGACTTACATATCGATGTAGTTTATTTCGAACAGCAACCGTTATGATTACAGAAAGACTTACAACGCGATTGCTTAATAAGTACTTAAGAACATAATCGCCGTTTTCCACATATTTAACCGTCATCTATCACGTTTTTCCTACTGCGAAAAAGTAATTTTGGAACATGAGACGAGTTTTTTTTTTTTTACATATAAACACACTCAAACGAAAACACTGCTAAATTTGACAGATGTCTCTTGATCGATGGTTATGGTGGAGTAGTGGAAGGTGCGCACAAAATTCGTGATTCGCCAACTCCAGAGCTTCCTGCCAAATCACTGATATTCTCAATAACTCGCTGTAAAATTGCATTTTATGAATGCTTCACTTCTTGATACAAATTTAGAAGATAAAAACTTAATTCCAGTCATTCATTACTATAATACTGTCGTTTATGTGTGCTCATGCTGTTGTTGCTATTGTTGTCACAGATAGCATAACATACCCTCTGTCCTTTTGTACCACTTCGAGTTTTTTTTCAATCCTGCCACTTGTTGCAAACTGTCCTGACGTCTCAAAGAAGGTGAAATTCCGGATTCGCGTCCAAATCTCGCGTGGGCGTTGTCCCCTGTGAATTAAATTCAAATGATAACTCATTGATTAAAAAATGGCGAGAACATTTCTCCTTTCCGCAGTTTGGCGCGCCATCAGTTTCAACAAAAACGCAAAAGGCAAAGAAATTTCCTCACGCATATAATCTATGCACGCACATCAAATACCTGGTACATAGGTTAAGAAAAGCCCAGCAAAAGTTGGTTCGCTCCGGAGAATTGTCTAGCTCACTACCCGATCTTCCGAGAGGAAGGCTTTTTATATCTTATGGGTGTAAGCCTTTTCCAGCTTCCCGTGACGTAATATCAGTTTATAAACAACATTGTTTTACGTGAGTCAAACAAAGGCCCTGGGAGGTTCCTATCTTAATCTTCCGTATTGGGTGGCAACCTAATCCTCAAAATCTACTTTAACATGTTTAAAATCGCGCCCGAACAAAAAAAAATCAACAAATCAATGTAATCTGTTTCGATTGCGGCTTCTACCCTCAATTTTAAAATCTCTCAAATTGCAAATTCATAAAAAAAAGTCTTGCGAAGACAGAAATTACAAGAAGCAAGATGAGGAGAGAAAACCAGCTACGAATTCAGGTGGATATCAATTACTCGGGTCATTCTTTGAAAAAATTCGCAAGCCCGACCCTTCCCAGCGTGTTCCTGTTTTTTTGTACTTAACCCATTAAGTATCACTAAATAAAGCCTAAAAGTCATGTTCAGACGTGCAAAGCAGTAATTTCCGGCTTACGAAACTCTTAAACCACCTTTAATCCTTCATCTTCATCATTGGTATCCAGCAGTTTAAACCCTTAATCTCTTCCATAAATAGAGTCTCAGTTCAAGAGGTGAAACTCGAAGATGGCCTTCTAGATATTTGGGCTTGAGAAGAATTTTAATTTGTGGTTTTCGACCACTGTCTCTCTCGATCGGTCTACTCATGCACGGTAATGCAAAACATATCCTCACTAGTTTAGCTTTTTGCAGTCAATAGGTGCTTCAATGTTGGAAACAGGCGGGAATATCGAAACAGGAACTTTTCAGAGAATTGCATCGACAGGGTATAATCAGAAACTAAACTTATTATTCCTTAATGAAAAAATTCATTTTACATTTCATAATTCTTTAAAAGAAAAGAGGTCCACTAAAAACTACACTCTTCCTAAAATGAAATACAAAAAGGCTTGCTATGCCGTCTTTTAAATTACCAATCATCTGGGCTGTATCACCAGATTCCTTCCATTCTAAGGCAAATTAGTACAGATAAAACCAATCTAAAAGTCCTCAAAATTGATTAGAAAAATATTGGAAGTATTAGATGGAAAAAAAATGTATTTTTATGCAATGTTTTCAAAGGTTAAGGATTGAAGGAAAGGTTGGGTGGCGAAAGATTTGATGCCATTCCAAATTCCGTCCTGACAGAACTTTTCAATTCCTATTACGATCAGAAGTCCATTAATCTAACCTCAAATATGTTTCCAACGGTGATTTATCAATAAAGAGGAAACCTATTTGTAAATAATACTGCTTTGCACGACGAAAACTAAGGAGTCGTAGTCATAGTAAAACGATGTGGAGAAGTAAGACTTCTTGTTTTAAAGATCTAAAGTTACTCATCTATGTTAGATATAGGAAAGTTGCAAGTCCACTATTTTCGCAAGTAATTCGCTTGGGTATTTAACTCTGGTTTATGCTGTACATTCTAGAGGTTTAAGATTTGCTCAGATTGTATCTTTTTGTGTCGCGCGCGAGCCGTTGTTTGTTTAGTAAGATTTTCCCGCATTACAGCAAACCCACGATTTAACTGTTCCAGTTACTCAAAATCATGTCTTATCCTAAGGGAGAACGTTTATAAACCTTCGCACGTAGCAGGTAAGACTAGACTGGGCGTGACTTTCTGTGTCGGTTGGGGGTTGTTCATTTTTAGCCGGGGTATACTTTTCTCGTAAGACTCCCTGCGACTCTTCTTATTTAGCGCAACCCACAAGCCGCTTACGGTACTTTTGAAAACTTAGCTGGTGCCATGTGGTGGGTAAAACAAGACTTTCTTTGATAACGAACTTACGAAACAAAATCGATTCTCTGTTGGCGGTCTTAATGATACAGCAACTTGCAACAAACACTCTTTCATTTCCCACCCATGTAGGGCTAAGCCAGAAATTACTATAAACGTTGCTCTTTCATAATACTGTTTACAAATTTAACCTCTATTTTTCCTTAATCTAGCGCAACTGTGTGGTCCACTAGCCACTCCATTCGATATGTTAAACCATCTTTTGGCAGATCTAATAAACGCTTTCGCATCTAGGTGCAGCTACTCACACACATAGAGAACAGTTACTAGTATATTAGCACTGTTGGGATCAACTCGTTAATTTATCTTTTTCAGCCAGTTCGTTTGAGTAGGTTTGATACAAGTCAGAAGGTAATGAAAAAAGATTAAGGTATGATTGGATAACAAACCTGAGCTCGTGCGTACTTAGTTCGGCCGCTATTTGGAAATCATGGTATCTTGAGCCAACCAAAGCTTCTAGACAGACCTCCCTGATTGTTCTAAAAATTGTCAGTGAGTAAGTGATACTCCGACCGCCAACAGAATAGATAAATTCTCAATCACCCAGTTGGTAGAGTGGGTCGGATACTTTCATAAAACAGGTGCTAAGAATAGCTGTGCATTTCACACTTAATCTAACTTGTGAACGCGTTGTCCACTAACTGGAGATATTACTAAGAGACTCTGCAGCAAGGTGAGGTTACCCTAAGTAAGCGTTAAGATTTCCCTCCGCAGTAAAGCTTTCATTGGAGGTATAATAATAATGATAACAACTTCATTTAAGGAGGGTAACGCATGACCGTAATTCCACTGATGAACTAGTGGCCCTCGATCCTAAAAGTATCATAATTAGATTTAAAATGTAAAATGAATTCGAGGATTAAAAACAGGTCTATAAGAATGCAAGCTAAAAACTGTATGAAATAAAATATGCCACATAGGTCGGGTTAAAATACAATATGCCGCTTGGGTCGCCTTGGTTTCGCGATTGAAACGAGGGCAAGCGAGGTTTCATTTACTATAACGACCACTTCGTTCGTGCATTAAATTTAAGTACATAGTTCATGATCCTGAGCACTTTCGATTTCTATCTCATGCCACCGAAATCCCCAACAACTTACCTTCTTATGTAAATTGCATTGCGTCGCTATCTCAACGTTCCGGTTTAGCCAAGGGTCGATTTTTCAAATCAAAGTTTATCCCCACGACAATAATTCTCAGTGTACTTTAACCCGACCACAGCAGATCTGGGCGTGTAACCTTAACGATGAACAATTGAACTTAAATACAGAGCAACAGGACGGAAGATCCACGTAATTCATAGTTATCAAAGGCAGAGAGGAAGCAGGTCATGATGGGCCATGACAAGTCTTCAACAGATCCCTCTTCGAAAGGACAATTTATGCTCAGAAAAAAAAAAAGTATTCTGTCAATTGTTTTCCCATTATCCAACCTAATCTTTCTTTCATGATCTCCTAGATAAGACAAGAGTCAGAAAAAACAAGTTTTCCGCCAATTGTTTTCCCATTATCCAATCTAATCTTTTTTTCATGATCTCCAAGATAAGACAAAAGTTAGCATTGGCTGAGTTTGTGAGCTATCCACATAATCTATCCAATTTTTCAAGATATTAATCCTGATAATGTTATCCGTTGAGATCATTCTCGATCTGTTGTCTGTTTTTTCTCCCTAGGAAACAATTTTGAAGTTGCGCTCGGAGTTGTTAAAGAAGCTATATTCTTTGACAATATGTCAACCAAGTGAAGAATGTTTCATTCGTCTGTAGGTTGGAGTTGAGTGACGAAAATTATGTCCAAGTCTGTTGTTTTCTCTGCTTTTGTTAAAAATGAGTGAGTCTCATCCTTAGCTACAGCAGCGAAAAAGATTCAGTTGAGTCGGCAACTTGTGTTACCGGAGCAATTGACAAAGTATTGCTCAATGCAATCATAATTTCCTTGGCGCATCGATAGTGAGTGAAAATTTGTGAACTTACGAATTCCATCAACACTTAGCTTTCTTGTATGTAATTATTTTCATTAGAGCCTTGTTTTTAGCCTACCTTCAATGAAGATAAAAAACCACATTAACTAAACATCCCATTAAATTAAGCTGGCAATTTAACAAAAAAGATTTGGTTCCTTTTATCTTCACCGTCAAGAATGCACGATTGACTTTTGACCTTCAAAATTATGGCAATAAAGAGGAAATATTTAGACTCTCTCACTAATTTCGAAATTGAAGAAAAAATCAGATAAGGAAATTCTTATCTTACTCCACAGCAATTTTGTGGTTTCCGACAAGCTCTCAAAAAAGCCAAAGTCCACTTTGTTTTCTGTTCTAACTTAAGTCTACAAGAATCCTGTTTAAAAACATTTCTTTTATGTCATTCTGAACCACGAGTGGGCTATGTTTCGGTCTTCAAAACCACATCTCTCCTGGGAAAAATCTGCAGGGAAGAATTCTTACCTGATCAGTTAAATTGCGCAGTGCACTGCATACTTCCTGCAGACAAGAAGGCTTGGTGCAAGTGATACTTAAGAAAAACGTCATAGGATAAAAGGAAGGGGTGTGTAGGGAAGATGGAAAAAGAAAACCACAATCTTTCAGTAAAACATTTACAATTAATCGTGTAGCCTGATTGTCCTAGTGATTTTCTGAGATGGATTGTTAATGGCGGTAGTGGGTAATGTTTGAACAACCTGAACGGAAGTCCTCATTCGTGTCAAGAGAAGAGGTATTTTTGTTCACTAGTCAGAGATTATGTAACAAGTATGGTTTCCGAAAATGTGATTGGCTATGTGACTTAGGTCGCATTCGTGCCTTGTGATTGGTTAGTTTTAATCGGTGCAAAGTTAGGTGATTCTGCATGAATACGTTTTGTAGGGTGCCTAGGGAGAGAAGTCGCTTACGTTAGAAGACCTCTTCTCCCTTTCTCTTGATATCTGTCAGTATATCAGTCTATACATCTCAAAGATTGGCAACCTGACAACCTTGGAGTTACTTAGCAGCTAGATTTCCGTCTAGCAGAGAGATTTTGCTTTTTTTTTTTTTTTTTTTTTTTTTTTCCAAGTCAGTTGTCACAGGTTAATTCCCGGCAGAAATTTCAGACATCTCGCAGCGAAAAGAAACAAAACCAAATTGATGTATACTGCGGTGGGTTTAATCTAAATCACTTTTACTGGAAGGCTTTAAGGAAAAATTTTCATCCAGAGATGCATTTTTATGTAGACATTAAAGCTAAGAAGGCTAAACGCTGAGAGGGTAAAAACTATTTTACGATAGGAACTCGAAGATCTTGTTGGCACAAAGTCGTGAGGTGAAAAACAAGGTTAATCAGCTTACATTTTTTTTTACTCAATAGAATAAATAAATCAGCTTCATAATTCAATCATAGAGAAAAAATGTAAAGCCTAACAAGGCAATTCTTCTGAAATCTGAAATACCATTTCAGTTGAAGAAGATTCGAAAAATATCATAAACGGGCGTAATGCGATAAACGGCTAATCTCTCGACAATGCGACCTTCGTCAAGGTTAGTAAAATAAGATAAACAGATCGTTGTATTCGAAATTCTATGCTATCAGTGCAGGTTACGCGTGTCACCTGTGTTCGTAAGGATGTGTCTTCAAGTGCTCTCATGAAAAAACCACAACTCTGACTACGACCGTTACAAAAATACACTGAAACTGAAAAACTGGCGACTTGATGCCCTCTGGAATAGGGAAGGGAGGGGGAAGGAATCTTGTGGCGATGCTACAGGGCCCTCAAACCCTGTTCTTCTTTCAAGACGACATCTGTTCCTTTTGCTCCCCCTTAAGAACAGACATGTTTAGGTTGTGGCACTAATATCGATGTAATGTAGTCAGTTCTGACATAAGCGGCTACAATCTTTGCAGTCAGAATTTTTTAAAAAAAAAATTTAGTAGCACACTTTAAACCCCCCACTGCTTTCGTTCCACCTCTGTTAAAAGTTTTCCGGTCTAGAGAAAGAATCTGTTCGAGATAGTAAATAGTTAAATAGACCATGTTTACGACTCAAGAATCTGAAAATCATATCCCATTTAGCGGCCCAAACCCGTTTAGGCCAAATAATGGAGTGCTCCTCACCTTTGGGGTTTGATCATGAAAGCTTTTAACAGTAGTCATCCAAATGGAGTCGTGTCCCTTACAGAGTTACAATGAGAAATTCCAAGTCGTTTTAGTTTTCCTTTAACATAATCTGTAATCTTAAACGAAGTAGAGAAACAAACCTTTTGTCCACTGAGCCAGATGGAAAAACACCACAACAGGAAGAATTATCCAAAACAGAACGAAAACGGCTGACAACGGACAAGATTAGCACAGATTTAAGTTGATAATCTTGAAAAATTTAGGGTCTAAGTGTCTCAAGAGAGACAAAGCGTGATTTATCTTCTGTAAGCTCTGGATTTGAAAATAAAAAAAAAAATTGCCAATACTAAAAATATCTAGAAATTACGAAACCCAAGGCTCCTGCAGAAGTAAAGAGATCAGTGACATCTACAATGATCTAGGGGTGGTGAACGCTTTAAATGCCTCAGTTTATCTTACCGCCGCTAAGTCTTTTTCTAATCTCTTTTATTCAGCAAATCGCTTTAGAAACCACTTGTACGCCATAATAATGCCTCTTTAATAACTCAGTTTTCATGGATATTACTAATCGCTCGAGCGTTTTCAATATTTGTGTGTCAAGGGTACGTCAAGATCTACCGTTGAAAAGAACAAGAGTAAACTTTAAAGTTTATCAATAACCTTTAAAGAGTAACCTAAATTAAAATAGGGCTTTCAAATACTCATCTGCCACTATGATCTTGTTAGTAAAACCCAAAGCTCTATTCTGTCTTTCCCCTTGTTTCTTTATGAAACGACTGCAGATGAAATAACGTTTAAAAGATTATCTATAAACCCTATTATAACCAGGCACAAGTTCAGCATCCCTGTAATTTCATAGATGCCCATATGAGGTACTTATATAGGATTAATAGAACTGAACCGAGAAACCCTCCAGAAATTTCTTCGTTGTAATTAGTGCGGATATAAATGCTGAGTTTTTCAATTTCCTTTCTTCACACCGTTTAGTTCTCATGATGAAACTGATGAAAGTACTACTTTTACTGGTGGTTATGGCCTTGACTGTGTGTGAACCCAGACGCATTCGTAACTGGCTTCAAAGCGTAAGTTCATTTTTTCATCTTTTTCTGCTTTTTTCTTTTTTTTTAGCAAAAGCATTCATTCAAGCAAGAGCGCGTGGTAAAAGCGCGAAACAGGAAAAAGTCTGATTGTAGTTTTGGAAGATAAAGACATGTTTTCTCTAACATGGAAGCCGAATTGTGAATGTTCATTGTAAGAAATGTTGGACACTCTTCGCTTTTGAAAATTAGGCTCCATTTTAGTGCTGTATCTCAACTGTAACGTAGGCACAAATTCGGACATCAGTTTTCACTCAAAATAAGGAAAAGCATCATGAAAAAGTCTCTTTTCTAGCTATATCCGTGGTGAACAAGATAAGGTGGTATTCCTGAAAAATCTTTGTTGACAAAGAAAATTAATAGGATGTGAAGGAAAGTAGGGAAAAGTACAAGTACATGGGAAGACTACTGATAGTAAACCTTGGTTTGAATAGAATAGAGGTGTCCTTAAACAAAGTTTTAACAGTTTTAGTTTGTAACAATGATTAGCTAAGCATCAATTTTCAGCTTTCACTCTATGCTATTTCAAAATTCTCAAAATGTACTCAAACATGTACCATCCTGGGATCAAAATGTGAAATCAGAAAAGGTCAACAACGAGGCAAAAGACTTTAATCTAACTAGGAGCAAAAAGTCTTTCTGACAAAATTACTTTACAAAATCGATTGACCAAATCACAAACAAAGGAAAGATATGCTTAGGAGCCATTTTGGCGCCTCCTCGCCTATCATATGCGATAAGAGGATATCCCTTTTCCTTTGGCATGCAGATCTGTTTACTGAACCTGACAACAAATGAAACATTATTGAATTCCTGAAGATACGAACGAATCAGTCATACTAACACAACTGAGTGTAACATGCAATCTGTTTAAAAGTTTTTCTATTTTTATTTTATTTTATCTACCTGTCCACGCTCTTAAGTCCACTAGACAACTGCGAACTTTACTTAAGAGGAACTCTTAATGTTTTCCTTCTTCCATTTTTTCAGTGCTCTGTTATACGTGGTGCGCGGTGTAACGAAGACACTGAATGTTCTTGCTTAATGAGCCGTACCAGTCCTTCGCTGATCTGTAGTTACAGGAATAGGTGCGAAGACAAAAGTCCTTTGGACGAAATTTGGAGGAAATTACCCGTAAGTTACTTAAATACCGGAAGTGATTAGCACGCTTAATCTTTGAGCAATTTCAATACTAAGTCCAGCTCACAGGTGATGAGAATACAAAAAAAGTCATCAGCTAAAGTTCGAGTCTGGCATCTTGATGTAACATGTCATTAACTCAACTAATTTACAACGCAATCAATAATCGGATCTTGGGGTTCAAAGGTTGAAATTGCAAAATAGAAACCTGCTGCATTTAAACCATTTACAGTACGCACACTAATCGGATTGAAAATGGCATAGCGTTGTTCACGTTGACTTTGGTGCCTCAACCTCCCTGAATTGACGATGTACGAAAACCTGGCTCATTGAAGAGTTTTGCTACTTGATATATTATTGACTGATGCGAGGGTAGTTGGTCCACCGTGTCAGCTTTTTGTTTACTAATGCTCTATGTACATTTGTCTTCCAGTGTCCCCTTATTTACAAATCACTTTGCACGGAAGATGCCGATTGCCCTTGTAGCGAAGCTCCGCTGATCTGCGAAGACAGGGAATGTGTCAAGGCCAAACCCATTAGGAGACGCCTGCCAGGAACAACACCACTTCCTCCACATTAGAGTTCTCAAAACTGCCCGATCGTAGTTTCCTTTGAGATAAAATAAAACCTTGAGCCCCCCTAATTGGTGTCCACATGCAAGTGTTAACAAGACTTGTGCAACTTGAAGTAAAACATAATGACCAGTTTTCTTTAGAATGTCGATTTTCAGTTTCCAATGCGTTTTTCCTTCTCCACAAAGGTATCCTTGTTGTTGTGGGTTCATTACTGCCTTTATGGCGTTTTCTATCAATTCGATCGAGCTGAAAGTAGAATTAAACAGTGCCAAAACTACCTTCAAAATCGTGCCCTTTAGCTCCATTTTCAGATTATGGAATATCCTCCTTCAACTACGTATCCCTCAACATCCTATAACTCACAAATTACATCCGATGCACAAGCCGAAACAAATGAGTTTGCAACTGTAGGGACGAAAAACAAACATGTTTTTACTACTGATTATTAGCAATAGTAGGTTGTGACAGCCACTGAATTACGTGGGATAAAAAGCCAACTGAACAATCATTTCCACGAACAATTTTGGTTCTCTTTACCAAATGCAGCGCAATGCTAATTACTGATTCATTGTGAGTCGTTGGCGTTGAAACTTAATAAACAAATTGCAAATTTTGTTGGTATGTTTCATCTATAATAGAACCGGAGGATAATCTTATCAAGAACTGATTGATCATACTGTTTGTATTCAGAATGTTGAGTTAATCGTGTTTCGTTGTCAACAAATATATCGAATCCCGTATCACTCTGCCGCAAGAGCTCCAATATTCAGATCCGAGAGTTCAGGCCACTGGTCCACAACGTAAAGTAGGGTCAAAACCCATGAAATCACACCAAGACCCAAACAAACCGAAGAAACCGACGGAATAAATTATTTCTAACGCAAATAACGGACAACTCAAAGCGTAAGAAATCTTTCCTTTCCTTAAGCCTTTCTCTTTCTTGAAAAAAAATGAAGGCGTCATTAAATCGAAGGTTTGATTTAAAGAAAGGACAGTGAAGAGACTGTTTTCTACAACGAAAAAATTGGCTCTTTCTACCATAGTAGTTCTGGCCAAGATTTTCAGTTCTTATCAATGCAATGCTTTACGGCTCAACCAAACAGCAGAAAAGTTGATTACGTAACGTTAACGAAATGAAAAAAAAAAAAAGCGAGAACGTTGAGACAAAAGCCAATGGACCAATTTTAAGCTGCTGTACATGTCGTTGATGGACGTTTTGTTAAAAAAGCTGATGAATGCAGTATCGATGACAGAAGCTGTTAAATAAGGCAGATGTTACAAGTCATCGGCCACAAACAGGCTCGAATACAACTTGTTGTGTTGGTAGTCTGGTGGGTTCTTGTCTTTCAGTTATTACGTTTAATGTTCACTTTTAAAGGCGTTTTATTTTCTCTTTAAGTTAACTTTCAAAGCCCTCATTAAAAACCGCACAAAAAATCGCGAATTGAAAAAAAATTCAAACACTTTCGACCTAGACACCCCTTGACCCAGTTTTGATCTCACTTTGACTGATAAAAAAAAAAAAGGAAAAAAGAAAAGAAAAGCTGAAAGAGCTTTAAACAATAGCAAGGCATTCGATGTAAGGTTCTCAATAACCACTGACCAATTATCGCAACCATAACTGAAATAAAACTTCAGTTTTTTTAAACTGATTAGCTGACAAGACAGTTATGCGGCGAATGCGGACCAATATTAGTTAATAATTTGACAAAAAAAAAATCTTGTTAATAAAAGCGATTGACAGTGGAGAAACGCTTGACATTATTCCACGTATTGATCTCAAGGTATGCCACAGTTTAAGTGTCCTGATATTTTCCTGTGGACCTTATCCAATTAGACCAATTTTCTCGAAAAAGGATAAAAGAAATTACTTGTAAATGGGATTTTCTTAGTGACCTTAGCTAAACACGTAGCCACAGAAGCTAACAGACATACAGTGCGTGTAGGAGAGGTGCGACCTCGTCATCTACTTTCTACAAGAAAATGGGGTAAAAAATAGCAGTACTGTTAACTAAAATGTTTAATCCTCCAGTAATAAGGCAAAGGAGCAGTTAATGGAATAAACGTATTAGTTTCTGAAGTGATTACTGTGCAAAGTGCTCGGCAAGTGGAATAGTACTTGATTATCATCTAAAAATTGATGAAAGTAAATCAATCGCCGTTGCGAACTTTGAAGAGCTCGAGCTGACTTTTCGAGAGTCAATCCCCTCGTCGAAGCGCATAGCTCTGCATACTTTAAAGAAAGCATTCCGACGGATGCGCATTTTGCAGTGCAAGGCACCAGCAAGGTCAAATCTAATCTCGGAATCTAAGGAAACGTCACGGTTCATACGTGCCGGTATCTCCGGTATCTGAAAGGAAAGCGAAGGAGTCGGAACGTTTTCATCGAAAAAAAAAAACAAACAAACAAACAAAAAAAAACAGACTTCTGCAAGCTAGTGGTGCCAAAGTGTTTGCTACTCTCTTTTCAGCCTATCATTCGTAACATTAAAGAAAGGTAAAGGAGTACTCCAAAGACATAAGTAATCCGTTCTTTTATTTGGTATTGCTTCGTTGCGCTCTGTTAGTGAGACTGGTCTTGGTTGAAAACTCGCGCCAAACCCTTTATACTAGAACAGATCGCACATTTTCCCGCGCTTGCGATTGTTCAAGTGAGCTCATTCCTTAGTAATGCACTACACATCATACACTGCGCACACAAGCGCAAAAGCATTCGTAGCAACAGAAAAAAAAAGTGCGTCCTGACGGTCACATACTCTAAGAATACTTTTAGTCAATACCTTTCTTCGACTTTTGGTTTGCAATAAAACAAACAGTAAGCTGTTCCTCTAGATCAGCACAGCTCACCTATCATGTTATTTCAAGAATTAAGATAAATCAACACTCCCTGTGCCTGCAAAAATTAGCATGGATTACACATTCTCTTGATGAATGCAGTTGAAAGAATCTGATACGTAACTTGAGCCAGTCATATCTACTAAACGAGCACCGTTACCTTTTGTTTTTATTGTACATTTTAAGTCAAAGTAAAGAAGAAAACGATAAAAAAAATTAAAGGAATCTCTTACGAATCACCTTAATTCCTGTAATGCGGTCATTACTCTTGTTTTAGTGTTATGACACTCTATAATGTATGAAATAACAATAATCAAGCATAGTTCTTGTGTATAATTTCATTACTTATTGGGGATGCACTCACCAGATTACAAGCCTTTCAAAATCTTATTCTGAAGAAACTGGAACAACTGATACAAGTCGTTTTTGTTCTCTCCATCTACCCACATCATTTCTAACACCACAACATCACGTGAAAAGTCACTGGCTATCTCAGCACCAGCTCCCACGCGCAAGGTAAAAGACACAAGAGGTCTGGACGGAGATTCACCCCGATTTGAGTCGCTCTCGATAAAATTCGATGGGTGCCAGTAAGAATCGGAAAACTGGCTTTCGCAGACATTCACATTTCCACGCGTTTCCTCCAAGTTTGGTGCGTCAGTTTCAGATACTGTTTGCATTTTTGTTTCATCCAAAGAGTCTTGTATCACAACCTCGTCCACACAACCTGATAGAGATTCCGATGTTTTTGCTTCAGGAGAGACTACTTTTTTTTTTAGGTTCTCTCGTCGTTTTCTGCTCTGATGTGCCCAGGTCATCTCACAAGCGTGACAGTTTAAAGCGATTATTCCTTTCGATTTGTCCTCTTTTTCTTCCTCTTCTACAATAACCTGCAACTCAAATTGCCACCAAAGTCGAATTTAAGGTTCTAGGCCAAGGGTCCTTTTTCAGCGTCAGCTCTCTTTAATGGTGAACTGAGGTACAGTATACAAATGTTAGGGGGTTTTGAGATTTATCGAATCTAAACATTGGCATTAAATAATAATAATAATAATAATAATAATAATAATAATAATAATAATAATACGTGTGATGCATGATCCTCGCAGTAGAGAGCGCTATTTATGCAATAGCGAAAATCAGACCTGAAAAAAATCAGGCCTGTACGGGATTCGAACCACTGACCTCTGCGATACTAGTGCAGCGCTCTACCAATTGAGCTAACAAGCCAACTGGGAGCAGGCCGTTAAGTTGATTCGTAATAAACCCGTGATGATAAATCAGATACAATGTATATATGAAGTTCATATATTTTGAACTGCGGTATTAGATACGTATGATGCACGATCCTCGCAGTAGAGAGCGCTATTTATGCAATAGCGAAAATCAGACCTGAAAAAAATCAGGCCTGTACGGGATTCGAACCACTGACCTCTGCGATACTAGTGCAGCGCTCTACCAATTGAGCTAACAAGCCAACTGGGAGCAGGCCGTTAAGTTGATTCGTAATAAACCCGTGATGATAAATCAGATACAATGTATATATGAAGTTCATATATTTTGAACTGCGGTATTAGATACGTATGATGCACGATCCTCGCAGTAGAGAGCGCTATTTATGCAATAGCGAAAATCAGACCTGAAAAAAATCAGGCCTGTACGGGATTCGAACCACTGACCTCTGCGATACTAGTGCAGCGCTCTACCAATTGAGCTAACAAGCCAACTGGGAGCAGGCCGTTAAGTTGATTCGTAATAAACCCGTGATGATAAATCAGATACAATGTATATATGAAGTTCATATATTTTGAACTGCGGTATTAGATACGTATGATGCACGATCCTCGCAGTAGAGAGCGCTATTTATGCAATAGCGAAAATCAGACCTGAAAAAAATCAGGCCTGTACGGGATTCGAACCACTGACCTCTGCGATACTAGTGCAGCGCTCTACCAATTGAGCTAACAAGCCAACTGGGAGCAGGCCGTTAAGTTGATTCGTAATAAACCCGTGATGATAAATCAGATACAATGTATATATGAAGTTCATATATTTTGAACTGCGGTATTAGATACGTATGATGCACGATCCTCGCAGTAGAGAGCGCTATTTATGCAATAGCGAAAATCAGACCTGAAAAAAATCAGGCCTGTACGGGATTCGAACCACTGACCTCTGCGATACTAGTGCAGCGCTCTACCAATTGAGCTAACAAGCCAACTGGGAGCAGGCCGTTAAGTTGATTCGTAATAAACCCGTGATGATAAATCAGATACAATGTATATATGAAGTTCATATATTTTGAACTGCGGTATTAGATACGTATGATGCACGATCCTCGCAGTAGAGAGCGCTATTTATGCAATAGCGAAAATCAGACCTGAAAAAAATCAGGCCTGTACGGGATTCGAACCACTGACCTCTGCGATACTAGTGCAGCGCTCTACCAATTGAGCTAACAAGCCAACTGGGAGCAGGCCGTTAAGTTGATTCGTAATAAACCCGTGATGATAAATCAGATACAATGTATATATGAAGTTCATATATTTTGAACTGCGGTATTAGATACGTATGATGCACGATCCTCGCAGTAGAGAGCGCTATTTATGCAATAGCGAAAATCAGACCTGAAAAAAATCAGGCCTGTACGGGATTCGAACCACTGACCTCTGCGATACTAGTGCAGCGCTCTACCAATTGAGCTAACAAGCCAACTGGGAGCAGGCCGTTAAGTTGATTCGTAATAAACCCGTGATGATAAATCAGATACAATGTATATATGAAGTTCATATATTTTGAACTGCGGTATTAGATACGTATGATGCACGATCCTCGCAGTAGAGAGCGCTATTTATGCAATAGCGAAAATCAGACCTGAAAAAAATCAGGCCTGTACGGGATTCGAACCACTGACCTCTGCGATACTAGTGCAGCGCTCTACCAATTGAGCTAACAAGCCAACTGGGAGCAGGCCGTTAAGTTGATTCGTAATAAACCCGTGATGATAAATCAGATACAATGAATATATGAAGTTCATATATTTTGAACTGCGGTATTAAATACGTATGATGCACGATCCTTCGCAGTAGATAGCGCTATTTATGCAATAGCGAAAATCAGACCTGAAAAAAATCAGGCCTGTACGGGATTCGAACCACTGACCTCTGCGATACTAGTGCAGCGCTCTACCAATTGAGCTAACAAGCCAACTGGGAGCAGGCCGTTAAGTTGATTCGTAATAAACCCGTGATGATAAATCAGATACAATGTATATATGAAGTTCATATATTTTGAACTGCGGTATTAGATACGTATGATGCACGATCCTCGCAGTAGAGAGCGCTATTTATGCAATAGCGAAAATCAGACCTGAAAAAAATCAGGCCTGTACGGGATTCGAACCACTGACCTCTGCGATACTAGTGCAGCGCTCTACCAATTGAGCTAACAAGCCAACTGGGAGCAGGCCGTTAAGTTGATTCGTAATAAACCCGTGATGATAAATCAGATACAATGAATATATGAAGTTCATATATTTTGAACTGCGGTATTA